TATGTGGAATTAAGAGAATGAAAAAAAAAAACAGTTCATATGTACAGATTGGTTGTTGATAGGGGCTGGGGGTGGGAGAAATGGATGAAGAGGATCAAAAAGTAAAAATAAAACCAAGGGCCTTGTATCTCAGTAAAATTCCTTTCTTTTTAGCTTGCCCTTAAAAAACAAACAAAACCCACCTTACCACAAAACTATATTAGATAACACATAAGGACAGACAATAGAATAGAATTGAAAGTCCAGAAATAAATCCTTAATTAGATAAACTATTGAGAAGGGTGCCAAGTAGCACTGTGGTAACTGGGTATCAACCTGCAAAAACATGAAGCTGGATCCCTACCTCACACCATACACAAAAATTACCTCAAGATCAATCAAAGGCCTAAATGTAAGAACTATGAAACTTGTAAAACTATACAACTTTTAGATGAAAAATAGGAGTAAATGCTTGTGTTTTGGTGTCAGGCAGTGATTTCATAAGTAAAAACCAAAAGTGTGAGTGACAAAATTAAAAATAGATGAGACTAACTGCACCTAAATAAAAAAAACTCATGTTTTATACAATTTTTCAAGTAACTAAAAAGACAACCGGGAGATTGGGAGAAAATCTTTGCAAATCACATATGATAAGGGACAGGAGATTTTAAAAAACAATTTAAAAATGAGCAAAGGATTTGAATAGACATCTCTCCAGAGAAGATCAACGAATGGCCAATAAGCACTGGGAAGATATTCGATGTCACTGGAAAAATACTCGACATCACTAGCCGTCAGGGAACTGCACATCAAACCACAACAAGATATCACTTAACACCTTTTGGGGTGGCTAAAATAAAAAAAAGAGACAATAAAAGTGGTGAGGATGTGGACAAAGCAGAACTTTCATTCACTCGCATGTAAAATGGTGCAGCTTCTTTGGTGAACAGTCTAGCAGGCCCTCAAAATGTTACATATGGATGCCATATGCCCTACCAATCCTAGGAATACATCCAAGCAAAATGAGAACATACCTTCATGCAAAAACTTGTGCACAAACATTGATAGCAGCATTATTTACAAGAGCTAAAAAGTAGAAATAATCTAAATGTCCATCAACTGATAAATGAATGAATAAAATATGATGTATTTACAATGAATTGTTACTTGGAACTAAGAAGGAATGAAGTCTTGAGACATGTTACCACAGAGATGAACCTCGAAAATATGTGCTAAGTTAAAGAAGTCAATCACAGAAGACCAGATATTACACAACTCCAATTATATAAAATGTCTATAGAGTCGGAAAGTAAATTAATGATTGCCTGGGATTGGAGGGGTAGCAGTGGTTGCTAATGGGCATGGGATTTCTTTCAACAGTGATAATAATGTTCTAAAATTAGACAGTGATGATGGTTGTACAACTCTGTGATTATACTGAAATCTATTGATCTCTATGCCTTAAATCGGTGAACAGTATGATGCATGAATTCTATCTCCACAAGACTTTAAAGGAAAAGAAAGGAACAACAAAGCATCTTGAATACTATATGTGGGGAAGATTGATATGTGAGCAAATAATATGGGAACCCAATTGGGCTAAGACATGAAGGATCAGGAGCTACATAACTAACCCCAGAGCTGAGCAGACTAAGAGCAAAGGATGGACAGAGAAGGAAATAAAGGTGATACTGAGGCAGTGGGAGCAGAGTGCAGGAAGGAGGAGAGATACAGGTATGGTTAGATGGGTGGGCAGAGGCCAGGTGCAGTCTCTTATCATCCAGTGACTTAAAACTTTCCCTGGATATCAATAGGAAGACACTGAAAGGTTTCAAGCTGGGGAGTGCAATGATTGGATTTTTAAAAGTATACTTAGACTGCAGGAAATTGATTGAGGGATACAGGAGATATAGGAAAGTCAGGAAGCCAATGTAAAAGTCAAGGAGAGAGATGATGTCTGGGAAGTTCAAGTTGAAGGAGTTGGAATGGATAGTGGGAGGTAAGGAGGTGGAGACAATTTGCTCTTATATGAAGTTTGGTTATAAAGGGAGAAAAGAGTTGTAGTTCTAAATGAAAGGGAATTATGAGAGGGAGGAAATTTAAATGATAGTCATGTTTAAATGGGAATTGGAAGACTCCAGGAGAGAGGTTTAGTATTCAGAATATAAGGAAGATAATTCATTCAATCAGGTCCTTGTGAAGGTGGAAGGTAATGAGATCAGAACACTTTCAGAGGAATATAAGCTCTACTATTTCAGGAGGAAGTTGGGAATGGTTACAGATGAAAGTGGGCTTGTAAATTTGGAGTCAGAATTTCAGTCTCTTGCCTCCAGTTCTGCAAAGCAACCTATGAACCAAAAGTGAGCAGATATGCTTTAGCACTTTGCTGTCAGAGGACAGTGATTAATGAGGAAGGCAGAAGAACATGCTTAGGGATAATGATAGGCATTAATGAAAGAAATGGAAACACACATAACCTTGTATCTTATATTATACTTCCTACATAATTGTCAGGACAGGACATGTGGAAAAACTGGAATCCTACGCAAAAGAAAGGATAATAAGAAAGTAGTTATTTCAAAAGTTCAAGTCTTTGGTTCTTGCTGAATTAGCTTTAAAAAATAAAACAACTGAAGAATCATTCCTGAGATTATAAATCATCCAGATTGGAATAGGAGCCAGGCAGACTGGAAATGACCAAATGTCCTATATTGTAAAAGGAATGAAAGGGAAATTCAAGAAAATATAGTTGAATCTAATTTACTTTCATCTTTGCAATGTTTGTTAACTTGTGTTCATTAGGAAGTACCGTGTTCATCAGGACTTATTTATGATAAAATATTATTTCTTTATGGAGACATTGTCTTGTTTTTGAGGTAAATGATGGGGAGATTAAATAAATGCTGGTTCAAAATAATAGGGTTCCAGAATGGTTTGATCACTGGACTGCTGCAGAGAGAACTGCGGACTTCAAAGGGACACTGGCACAAACAGAATGAGAGCCAACAAGGGTAACTAAAGAAAAGGGGCTCTGGATGAGGCACAGAAGCTATCCTCAAGTGTCTGAAGCCCTGGCATGTGCAGTCTTTTTTCCACAGTGGTCCAGTGAGCACAGGCAGAAACGAAAGTAGAAAGTTCCAGGGAACTAGATTGTTGTCCCTAGATAAAGATTACCCAATATCTGAAGATGTCCAATAATATGAAACACAAATCACTGGGTTCCTAGTCCTGGAAGATTCTAGCAGACTCTCTCAGGGATTTTGCTATAATAGGTTAGGGTGTAGACTAAAAAAAGTCTAGGATCCAGGGCTTCCCTGGTGGCGCAGGGGTCAAAGTCTCAGCACTATCAAGCTATCGCCAGCCATTGTGGCGTGGGAGCTAACCCACATGGCACAGCAGACCTCTCCTGACTTGCCCGCTGCTCCCCTCAGCAGTGTATTTCAGTAGATCCACCTGTTCTACTCCCCACTCTGTCTCTGGTGAATCCTCTCAACCCCACTTCTGGCCTGTACCCCAGTTCTTGTATGCATAAATAAAATCTTTTTTTAAAAAAAGAATTCTAGAAAGAAACTACCATACACAAAAATTTAAAAAAAAAATGGATTAAAGACTTGAATATAAGACCTTGAGACCATAAAACTCCTAGAAGAAAATATAAGGGGTAAGCTTCTTGATAGGAGTCTTGGCAATGATTTTTTTTTTTTTTGATTTGACACCAAAAGCAAGACAAAAAAAGTAAAAATACACAAGTGGCATTACAATAAATTTTAAAGAACTTCTGTATGGCAAAGAAAATCATCAACAAAATGAAAAGGCAAACTATAGAATGGGAGAAAATATTTGAAAATAAGATCTGATAAGAGGTTAATATCTAAAATATATAAAGAACTCACACAACTCAAAAGAAATAAACAAGATTTAAAAATGGGCAGAGATCCAAATAGACATTTTTCCAAAGAAGACATACAAATGGTACATGGAATGATGCTCAATATCACTAATCATCAAGGAAATGCAAGTCAAATCCATAATAAGATATCACCTCATATCTGTTAGAAGAATGATTATCAAAAAGACAACAAACAACAAGTGTTGATGAGGATGTGGAGAAAAGGGCAACCTTGTGCACTGTTGGTGGGAATGTAAACTGTGCAACCAGTATGGAAAAAAGTAGGCCTAAAAAAATTAAAAATAGAACTCCTATTTGATCCAGCCATTCTACTTCAGGGTATTTATCTGAGGAAATGAAATCACTATTTTAAAAAGGTATCTGTATCCTCATGCTCATAGTAGCATTATTCAGAACAGCAAAGACACAGAAGAAAAGTAAATGTCCATCTATGGAAAATTATTCAGTCATAAAAAAGGAAAAAAATCCTCCTAATTGTAATGGACCTTGAGGGCACTAGTCAGAGAAAGACAAATATTGCATGATCCCACTTACACATGGTATCTAAAAGAAAATAAATCAAAGATACACAAGAACAGACAGATTGGTGGTTGGCAGAGGTAGGGGGTTGCAGAGTGGGCAAACTCTCAGAAGATAAATACATCCTGGGGATGCAATATACAGCATGGTGACTACAGTTAGCAATACTGTAGTAATGAAGGTTGCTCTAATGGGTAGAACATAAAACAGAACAAGGAAAAAACTGGGATGTATCGCAATGGATAGTAATGAAGCCTCTTGTAATAATTTAGCAATATATACATAGATCAAGTCATTATGGTGTAGCAGGAAAACAGTGTTATATGTCAATTATATATCTCAATAAAGAATCACAAAACAAGACCCTCATAAATGAGGTCTCACACTCCCCTGAGTGCTCACTGATCTACATGGCTTGGATGAAATCTGCAGTATTGGCCTTGAAACTCAGGGGCCTTATCACACAGATCTTATCACACAGTAATCTCTGGGGAGAGGTGCTCTCAGGGGAGAGAGTTTTTTGTGCCATTCCTGGGGATGAAGGGGAATTTTCACTCCAGGAGGAAATGATTCAAATGCCGCCATTTCTTACCTGGACTTTGGGATCTGCTCCACGCCTTGCTTCAATTGTACATGGCCAGGTTCATCCACTGAGAAATAAGCATTACCATTACAATCAATCTTTGAGCTTGTTGGCTTAGTACAGAGCAGTGCAAATGGTACCCTCCTCCATTGAAAAATTTCATCAACCCTTTCCAGCAAATTCCAACTCTAGCAAGAGTTCTCAGCCCCTTCGCAGTGTATCTTCTGCTACTCCCTGACTTGGCAGGCAGTACAGGGATAGCTGAGGTTGACCAGCTGGCTGGTCTGGGAGGCTCTTTCTTAAACTCGATGGGAGTACATTTCATGTACAGTTGAGCTCAGCAGGTGTTCTTCAGTTCCCTCCTGGATTTATGACTCCCACCATAATCTTCTGCTTTATTAAGCTATCGGAAAAAAATAAAATCTGTCTGCCAAGATCCTAAAGCAGCGTTGGCAGGCAGCAATATATAAAGGCAGTAATTGGAGGCCAGAGGGAGCAGCTTAGCAGTCTTTGACAGACTGTTCAATATCCTTAGGGAGAAAAATACTCCCTGGAATCAGGTGAGGAAGGTGGCCTGGAGCTGTGCCCTGACTCTGCGTGGGGAGGGACCTCACCTGTGTTTCTGTCAGGTAGATTCCTTTTCCATCATTGCAGAGGTTCTGGAAAGTCCCTAGTGGGGAGAGGAGGGGAGAAGTCAGGGTGGGTCCGAGGAGGCAGACATAAAACATGTGAAGTGTTTTATGCCAAAATTGGGGGAACCTCCCTTCTTCAACTGAGGACTCTCTGGAGAAAGTTTATGCCTTGGGATTCCTTTTATGCACCCAGGGCTTGGTTCTCATTCTTGATTAACTGACTAGCTGAGAGCTGCAGGGTTTAGAGGCTCCTCACCCCAGGGAGGGTGCAAGGCTTAGATCTGAGGTCAGATCCCATCCCACCTCCATTCTGAGCTCTAAATGGCTTGGGGTTTCACCTAAAATAGCATTTAAAACAAAGGGTGTGCTGCTAAGTATCAATGCCTCTGCCCCCAGAAGCCTTGGGAAAGCCCTCCTGGCCCCACTGTGGGCTGGGTGTGCACTTCCTTCAGCAGAGCCCAAATCATTCCCTGCATGATTGAAGAGCAGGTTTAAACTATCAACACCGTCTGCAGCGGGGACACAGAGCTTTGAGTGAAACTCTTTCCTGAAAGAGGTGCTGAATAGGGTGATGAGGAAAATGAGCTGGCTGGGTAGAGGAATGTCTTGGAGAGAAAAGGGGGCAGAAGGAGGTGGGAACCATCCCAAGCCCATTATTCTGTCACACAGACTAACACTGGCTCTGCCTCTTGGGCCAGGGCTCCAGCCCACCCCATGACTGAGGCCTAGCCCAGGCCTGCTTTCCTGGCTCTCTCCTATCTCTTTGCTCTATGAAGGTCTTCAGGGTGTCCCTCCGGTGACACTCACTCGACATGGCTTCGAGCCGCACCAGGAAGCAGGCCATGTTGGGGAAAGTGACCTTGCCGCTGCTGTCGCTGTAGCGGAGGGTCATGAGGTCCAGCAGATCATTGGTGACAGAGACCCCTGCAAGGAATTCTGGGCCCAGGGTGAGCCAGTGAGTGGGAAGGAAGCCAGGACTGGGGGTGCCCCCTGCCTTGCTGGGTCTGAGAAACCATTCAAATGGCCTCATGGCCTTTCCACTGACATTTTCTACTCATCCTGCTTCGGTGGCCAGCCCACTCTACCTCAGCGTTGTTATGATTCTCTGGTCAATTCTTTCTTGCTGGTTTTTGGACCCCAGTGACACTATTTTGAAGTTTGGCCACATACCGAGTCTAGAAAGTCGAGACCTTGCTGTGGTAGGGACACCTGCACCTTCCCCACATGCTGATGATCCCAATAGGGGTAGGGGGTTGCCACTACACTGGGGTTTGCTGGAACCCAGCCTCTGTCAGTCCTCTTTCTGCCGATGACCTTTAAACTCCCTTCGCCCCTGACCCAAGGCCGCCTGGGGGCCTTAGGCGCGGAGGCAGTCAGCATGTTAAGCATGGCTCCTGGAAGAGGGCGAGTCAGTCCTAAGTCATGCAAGGAACTGGGGAGAGCACAAGTCAGAACATGGCCTCGGGTGGGCAGGACAGAGCCCTGGTCATCTTGCATGTTTTGTTCTGAGCTCCAGAGAGGCACCAGCATCATAGTGGACAGCAGCTGAATGGCACAGGTGGCTCGGAGCTCTGGTGGCAAGTAGAACCTAGCAAGTCACACATTTATCAAGGGGATGAGCCTGGTGACCCATGCAGCTGGAGACAGTGGTTAATAAAATGTGGGTTTGAATGCCATCACTCAGAGTGTGCGGTCTCCAGCTGGCCATGTTCTTAAATCACCTTCTCTGTTTAGCTCTGCTGCACCTTTATGTTATCACACTGGGCCCTGAAGTCTTGTGAGCTGCTTCCAACTATTCTTTATCTTTCTCCACTTTATTATTCTGGAGTTATTAGTGAGCTCTCCTTTAAAAATTTTATCTTTCAGTGGCTATTCTGTGGTTCTCAAAGGTGGTTTCCAAAACAGAAGCATCACCTCACTAGGGGAACTTGTTAGAAATGCAAATGACTGAACCCCAACCACATCCATCCTGAATCAGAAGCTTCCAATGGGGTGAGGCTCATCAATCTGTTTTAACAAGCCTCCAGGGGGTGCTGGTGCATGCTCAGTTGAAGAACCAGCTCTGTGGTGTGAAGAATTAAGGGGTAGGGGGCTGTGCTAAAGGGGAGCAGCAACCCATCTGAAAGCCACAGAGGTAGAATTATGGAGGCTCCTTCACATCACCTGGGGGAATAGAGTATTGCATTTTACTAAGGAAGGTGGCAATTTCCTGTCTTAACCTTTGTGTGCTCCCTGTCCAGCAGAGATAATGATTTCTGCCCTCCCCAGTGGGCAGAGTTCTGGAGACCATCAGATGAGTGAGTGCAAATTCTTGCTGAACTATGGAAATCTCCTGTGCCCCACAGTATTATCTTCATTATCCCAGGGCTGAAACTAGGCCTACTTGGAGCAGACAGAGGCCGTTTGATTTCATTGTAGCCCCAAACCCTCTGTGAAGAGAGCACAGCAGCCTGCCCGGGGCTATAAACCTCCTGGCCCAGAGGCTGAGAAGGAAGCATGTCCCTGGCAACTTGGATTTCCGGTAGGGTGTCTGTCATGTGGGGTTATTTTCTCACAATTAGAGCTGTGTGGGTGTGAGAAAAGGCATTTGAGGACGAAGGTGGGGGGAGGATAGAGTGTGAGTGTGGAGCCTGGAGGCCCACAGACACGGCATAAACTAAGGAGGACAGTTTATGAGTTTCTGCTCTTTCCTGACTGCCCAGTGGGCAGCATTGTACTGGCCTTTACCTACCACATGCTGGGGTGTCAACGATCTCCACCCACTAGCAGTTATCCCCTCCCCCCAGCCATGGCTCACAGAGCTCCCAGTTTTACCTGTGTCCTCTATGGCCTGACACAAATCCGAGGTCAGGAAAATTCCAGAGTACCTCTGGATATTCTGGAAAACCCTCTGATATGCAAAAAGAAGCAAAGAACCATGTGAGTCCCAGTGTCGACCTTGAAGAGGACATCAGGGTGAGGGGGCCTGGAAACCCCTTCTCCATTCCTGGAAGTCGCTGCACTAAAACTCCCAGGCCTGCACCTTCGCCCCCCTCCCTCTGTACCCCTGGACTGGGCTCCAGACACACAGGGCAAGTTGCTGCTTTGGAAGGAGGTGTAACGCTCTCTGCAGAGTTGGGTTGGAGGTGGTTAAGAGCACAGACTTTCTCACCCAACTGCTGGGTTTAAATCCCAGCCTCATTATCATCTGGGTGAGTCACTTACCCTCTCTAGGCCTCAGTTTCCCCACCATTAGCACAGGACTAATGGCTAATGGCAGGACTAATGGCAGTACCTACTGCCCAAGTTAGCGACAAGGCGTACAGGGGCAATATTTATAAGGGCTGAGGAGTGCAGCACACAGAGCGCTAGAAAACACTCACAGTAGGTGAGAAACACCTGGGCCCCGCACGTGCCCTCACATCTCTATTTTGTATGCGGCACCTTCACATTTCCTACCTCTCCTGCCTTCTCAGTCCAATCCCCATCATCCTCTTACTTTGAAGGTGAGGAGGCCTACGCTTAGGCCTGTGGTCCCTGGCTTTGGATTAAGCGTGTACGTGCCATGGGATTGCGCTGTGACTCCTGATTTGGTCTGTGCACACCTGCCCCAGGGGTGGTGCTGAGGCAAAATACCCCACAGAGGTGTGTGAGGAGGCCAACTTGGGAGCAATTATTGTGAAATAGCAGCTGGAGGACTTTTTCTGATCTTACTTGGCCGTTGGTGAGTTTAAAGGCCTAGAATGTTCTTACTTAGGAAATCACTCATTCATGACTTCATTAGTTCAGTCATTTATTCAGCATGTTTGAGTTTCTGATGTTTGCTAGACACTATGGAAAGCACTGGAGAATGAAGATGAATATGAGGGAGCTCCTGCCTGAAAGACCCCGCAATCTAATGGGGGTTGGGGAGGGGACAGTAACATGTCAGCCATTGCAGTCCCCTGTGAGAAACCAAGTGACCCCAAGATAGGATTTAATTAGTGATGCATCCTGGTACAGCCACACAGGAGCCTTTACTGCTGGGGTCCAAGTGTTAGGAGCTGCAAGGGGAACTGGCAAGGCCCCAGAGGCCCTGCAGGGACGGACTCTCAGGCTGGGCGGGCACTCACCAGTTTTGGGACTCTGGGAGGAAACAGTCAGGTTTCTTAGGAGGGGCCTGCAGGGTGGGAAGGATTAGTGAAATGGCTTCTCCTGGACCCCAAAGTAAGTGCCAACTTGGAGGGCATTGATAACAGCTCTGATGAGTTTGTAGAACAGTGGTGAGGCCACAGACCACATCTGTGACTTTGACTTCTTCTGGCAGATGGATAGGAAGGGAGCGAGATGAGTGAGGGGTCTGGGGATGTTGCAGGGGGCCAGGGAGGAAGTGGAGGGGGCGGACACCCTCCTGGAGTGTGCTCATCCTGCCATGAGATCGAGCATTGCTGTGACCTTCCAGTGGTGCCGTGGGTCTCCCCAAAAAATGGGAGCTCTGCTGGAGGGCAGGGGTGATGTGCCTCTTCTTTCACACTCCTCAACTCTGGCACAGTGTTAGACACCCAACAGATTTTGACTAAACTGGATGGGATAAATGTCAGTCAAGAGAGAACATGCTGGTTGGTACCTGACAGCGAATGAGACGGCTCCATAGTCTTGAAAACTCCTCTTCGTCCAGCCGCCCGTCCACTTTCAGCTGGTGGGCAGTTAAGAGTTAACCAGTTCAGGCCACAGTGAGCAAAGGGGCTTTGGATCCTGCCAGACTAGCAGGAGCAGCTCCATCCATCAACTAGTAACACAGTCGGGCGGCCGTCACCTGGACGTGGCCCATGTCAGCCGGCTCCCGCTGTGTCTGCAAGGGACCTGGCTTAGATTTAATTTACAAGGGAAAATGGACCATTGGAAGGGAAGGAAGCCCCGAGAAAGAGGACCATCATCATCACTTGTATCCTCAGGAAGAGAAAGAGTCCAAATCATAACCTTGACTGGTAGGGAGGGGACACCCAGCAGGGGAGAGCGGGGAGGAGCAGGAGGGGGTCGTTGCCACTGCCAAAGCCACAGGAGAGGTGAGTGTGCACACCAGTGAGCTCGAGGGGATGGATCGCACTCCTATACTGAAGCCAGACCTGGTCACTCTTACGACAGGTTTAATGAGGACTAATGAAAGGAAAGAATCAGTCTCTGAGGAGTTGAGGGGAGCTGGTGGGTCAGTAGGAGAAAAGGCAGAAAAGACCCGCCTGCTTTGCAAGGGTCCAGCAGATAGGACCAGGCTGTGTGGCTGCGGCCAGCCATGTAATTCATCTGCAGGGGAGGGCAGCCTCTGAGCGATGCCAAGCCACAGCCAGCAGAGACAGGGCCTGATTTATGACTTCATCAAGAAGCCCTCTTGTTTGACAATGGCCTGCTTCGCATTTCCAATCGAGCCTGGTTAACCGTGAACAAACCGGGGCTCTGTCCCACTCCCGGAGGCAGAACACGCCCAGGTGAAGAGCTGCTGCAGCAGCTGGAGGAAGGCACAGTGGAGCCAGCTCTCCTGCCCAGACCCGACAGGCCCGGAGGACGACCCGGCTGGCCCGGAGGATGACCCGGCTTACTGGAGATGGAAGTCAGGGCAGGAGTCAGGAGGCCTCGGTTTCACCCCAGCCCCCTACTTGTGCCCATGGAACTTGGGCAAATCAGTGAACTGCTCCGACCCCAGGCTTGTCTGCAGATGCAGCATCCTAGTAAAAAGGGACACGACTGTGTAGGCCAAGGAATTTTCTACAAGTCTCAAGGGTTCTCTTCATTGAATTGGGGGTTTGTTGAATAAGGAATTTTAATAGCGAGGGCCCCTCCTGTGGGAAGCAAATGGAGGAATCTCCCAGTGGAGCTACAAAGAGGCAGCATGGGATGATGTGGGACGCAGACTTTGGGGACTAAAAATCCAGCTTCCAATCCAGGCACACGTTTTGACAAGCAGTGTGATCCGCTCCAATGACAATCTCTCTGAACCCATGTCTTCCACTGTGTGATGGTTTGATACTTATATCACAGAGCTATTGCAAGAATTACAAGGAAAAAAAATATATATATATACAGCAGTATAGCTCTCAGCACACAAAAGATGCCTAACAGAGCATAACTCCCGCTGTTGCTGCTGTGGTTGTTCTGGCGAGTTAGTGACTTAGTGCAGCATCCACAGAAACCTGGGCTCTTAGATGATCCTTAGAGCCAAGAAGGGGAAAGAACACTGAGCATAAGAAAAACAATCTCTTTTGGCCTAATTAGACCCCTAGGGAAGGCCGCAGAGCAGAGCAGACCTTAGATGTGGGAGTGGTGCAGGGTGGCATGGGTGACAGCAAAGGATACATCCATCAGCGCCACCATGCTCCGGCACTGATCCAGAGAGAATGTGTCCTCTTGGCGTCCTGAAGAGGGGGAAACAGGAAGGACCCACATGTGGGGGCTGGGATGACACTGGGCTGCTCGGAAGTGGGGTGAGGTGGGGGCCGGCAGGTTGACCTTACCTCTCAGGAGCTCGTGGTTGAGGAGACGCTGAAGCCGCATGGCATCAATGTCCACTCCCTGTCAGGACAAGAGAGGAAGCAGAATCACATGGGGCCACAGCTGAGGGGTACACTGCCTGGCTTTGTGAAAGCATTGGGTTTCTGGGTACTCACTCTCCAGCCTGCCATGCCCAGCTTATTCTGTCAAGCCTTTTCTCCTGATACTCCAGGTGGTGGTGACAACTCCCTCCCCTGGACGTCTGTGGTACCCACTTGGTGTGGGCTGCTTGTCTCTCTCTTCATTCATCATTGGGTGAAAGCAGGGTTTGCTTCCTCCCTGCTCCCACCCTAAGACTGGCACTCAGGAGCCCCTCAGGAGCAGCACTATTGAAATGAATCAATTCAGCCCTGTAGGTGTATTTCCCCATCTGCTTCTAGAAAGAGACTAAGAGAAAAGATGACTACAGTGTATGTAAATGCCCAGAATCTAGGCTAACAGAAGCTGCTCTAATCGAGAACATTACTTAGCTCTAGTCTTCCCAGCCAATGAAGCAAAAAGGGAGACATCAGGCCTTTCTTGGATTAAAAATGGGAAGCAATTGAGGCTCAGGGGAGAGAAACTTTTCCTGGCCTCAACTTCTGGAGGTGTTAACTGCATTCAATTTTCCACTGGGGACACCGAGCAGCTTTATGGGTAACATCAGCCATGATGATTTTGCAGAGAAGCTGAGCGGTTCCAACACGGCCGTTTCTTACACCCATCGGGGAACAAGCTGAGGGGATGCTGTGGCTCCTCATCCAGGGGAAGCTTTTCCACAGGGAAGGATCTGAGTGAGAAATTGCAGCAGGTGGGTCTGTAGGGAGGCCCTGGGTCAGGTGGAAGTGGGTGCCTCTTTGGGGGAGAACAAGCACCCCAGAGACAACAGATGCATGATCCCCAGGGTTGGCCTCACCACCTAGAAATGGAAGCCCAGGCAGACCTGCTGCCTGTCCCCAGGGGTGTCCTTCACATGCCCCCTGAGAAAAATGCCATGCCCAGGCCTGGAACTGGGCCTCACATTATCCCTGCAACATCTTAGTGACATCACTGACATTGGTGTTATGTGCTCGCCATCAACTGAGTTTTATCTCCTCCAAAGAAGCACAGCACCTAGTGTTAAGGGTACTGGATGGGCTGGTGAGGTATTAAGGGAATCACCAGCTATAATAAGGAGCTGGAGTCCAATTTGTATTCTACTTCCCAGCCATGCACCTTGGCATGAGGCTGGATCTGTGTCTTGGTCTAATTCCTGCAAAGAACCCCTAGGGACCCCCAGTTACCCTCTATGAGGAGACAAGTGGCTGCTCTTTGGAATAGTCCTGATGAGGGAATGTGTGCATTAATCACGTGACTGATTTTTTTTAGATGTGCAGGTGCGCGAACCAATTGAGAAATTTGCTTCCTGCCCCTGAAGGAAACTGGTCTCAGGTATCCTAATCAGGCCCTGCTCATCATTTTGGGCAGTAACCTTAGCTTGCTCTAAGGAAGCAAATCTGTCTTAATTCAATGCAAATTGAGACTCTTCTCTGTGCCAAGAACGGTGATAGGTCCTGGGGTCCAGGAATGCATAAAATGTCCTTTCTGCCTTTGGGAACTCACAGACTGGGGACAATCATCTCAGAAGATCTGGTCTTGCATCAAGTGAAGTGTGTTCTGAATCACCCCAGATGAGGGCCTGAATCCATTTATTTCAGTCCATACTAAGCTGCTCCTCATGCCAGCCACATTCTGTATTCTCCTTGCTTTTCCTCTGGACTCAGTCTGCCTGCATCATTTTCCCTTGGGCTCCTTCCTGGTTGCCACTGCCCCATTAGCCCTCCGAATGCCTGGCATCCCTCCTGTCCCTGACCTCTGCATGGCCTGTTCTGACCTGTACTCACCGGCATCTCTATTGCTCTCAGTTGCCACACCAACACTAGTATTAACGGTAAAAGGCCCATAGTGCAGAGCCCTTGGCAGCTATTCTTACCCTGACATGTCTTCATAACGGTTTATTAAACCATTTAGAAAGTCCCCTGTGCACATAGGTGGTTTGGCAATAAAAACACTTTCTGGAGTTGGCCAGCTCCTGGGAGAAATGATGCCAACGTTGGTGGGAGGCAGCAGAGCAGGAGAAAGATTTCAAGGGGTATTGCCAGTTGCTTGTTTAAAGATTTAGAAATCACACACACCCCATGATGAGCCCCTTCTGTTCCACGCTCTTCATTCCACCCCAGATGTTACCTGGGTGGGGAGCTACTTCCCTCATGGTCTGGAAGCCAGATCAGATCTGGAGACATCCATGAAGAGAGGTCGATAAAGTGACCCATCAAGTCGCTTTTCCTGTCTGTAACTTTGTTAAGAGTCTGGGAGCAGTTTCCAATCCCCTGGTTCTGCCTTCGCCTGTCTGACATAGGACCGCCAGTTCTAAGTACTGTACCTGATGAGCGTATCTGTGGAAAATGGTCTGTTCCCAGTCGTCTTCTGGAATATTTTCCTGTATCAAAGGGAGAACATCAACATCAAATTTCTGGAGAAGGGGGCTACCTCTGTGGTGCACTGAGGACACCAGAACCTCCCACGTGGATCTGAGACAGAGGTTTCAACCAGCCATTGGGTAAAGCCTTTAAGAGAGTGGGAAAACTGCAGTTTGTGGAAGCTGGTTGGGTCCAGCTTGGCCTTCGAGGCTGGGTCTTCTCCCCTAGGGCTACCCATCCACCCATTATGGTGTATCTGTTTTCACTGGTCCATGGAGAATCAAGAGGGAAGGAGACAGAGGCTCTTGGGGATGGGATGTGGTCAGTGACCCTTGACAGCCAAACCTTAACACACCTACCTTTATTTCTTTGAAACTGAAAGTGCTGTCCAGTTTCCTAGAAAATTAGGGAAACAGTGTGACAAGGATAACCAACTCACTCTTTAAAGGAGGGGGATTGGCCATTCCTGCGAGATTACCTCAGCCTGGCAGACCGAAGCAGAAAGCTGAAGAGCCTACAGACCAATAGTGTCTCAGGCTCCGGTCTTTCTGGTGGGAATACTCTGGTCTTCAAACCACTTGGTAAATGATTCCTTTCATAACCAGGCACACATGTATGCCACCCCACTGCCAGCGTTGTCTTGGGTTACAACTCTGATTGGTGGCACAGTGGCTGCTGGGTGTGCATGACCAGGAGGGTCTCATCCACACTGTAATGCGGGGACTGCCATGGCTATATGTCTGTCAGGAGGGACAAGGTGCCCACCAAGGTGTGCACTTGTGGATTCCAGTCTTGGCCACTGACTTGGCACTGAACACCCTCCACAGTCAGACTCTCTCTCTTACTATCCTCCTGATAAATCCCACATTCTGGCCACATTTCAGATAATTGCTGTGCAAGCCATGGAGCGCCTTCCTACATGTTTGGCTGCCATCACGTATGCTTCAACCAGCTCCATGCTCAACCACTTCCCTGCTTCACAATTTTATCTCATGCTTTCTCTTCTACTTGCCTTGCCTCCCCCTTTGAAACATTAGGTCTTCCATCAAGAGCTGGCTCAAATGCCATCTCCTCCAGCAAGGCTTCCTCAGTGCCTCTTGCCAGAAGTGGGCCCTTCCTTCCACCCCCTCTGCCCACACATGCCAAGTTGCCTTTCCCTCTAGCAATCACCTGGTCCTGTTTGTGGGCTAGTTGTTGATTGACAGATTTTTCTCACCCCCCCCCACCCCTTTATGGTAAGATTATGAGTAGGGTCTATGCCTTGCCCCCTGCTGGTGTTGGATACAATGTGTTTTTATAAAATTAAGTAGAATAAAACATTCAGAAGCTCAGAGGCTCTGTACCTGTCACAGTCTGATATTTTCAGGAAGACTCGGGCCAAGAAGTCAATTGGCTCTTTGCGGGCAGAGGCGGCCACCACATAGGTCCCAGGGGTCAGAGTGAAGCACTTGGTGAGGTTGCACTTGGTTTTAGACACTATGCCCTTTACAACACTTCTGAATTGGGAAAAAAATGTAGAAGGCAATTTCTCCTGAAAGTGCCGGAACTGAAAGAAGATAATAATGGTAAGAAAGCCCCCTGCTGCATGCACAAGCCCAGCCACCAGCAGATACCCATGCACTTCCAGACCCCTCTGCGTCTGCCAGAACAACATTACAGGCCTCAAATCGGGAAGCAGTGCTCACCTGAACTCTCAAAATGTGATGGAGTTTGAACTGTTATTTAATGGAGACTCTACCACCACAATGAAGGCAAAGAAATATGACACACAATTTTATCTCATTAAATCTAAGAGCATCCTGGGTTTCTAGGTTTCTCTCTCTGCTTATATATAGAGACTTCCAGAAAAATTGGGGAGATTATTTTTAGAGCCTCTAAAGCCCCTTCTCTGCTGAGAAACAAAACCTCTTTGGATTTCAGGGACACTGCAGGGCAAGTAGGCCCCTTTCCTTTCCTCCAGCTCAGCTTCCCAGCAGAGCTCTGAAATTCCTTCTCATTGGAGAATAATAGGCCCTGATCATTTTCCTTTTATTTCAATATTTTCTTAGAGATAAAACAATAAATATAATGCAGTTCCCATTACTGGATGTCACATACATATTACATAATAAAAACCCCTTACTAAATAAATTTTCCCCAATACAGTCAAGCATGGGGATTCCATTTAGAATGGTTACATAGTGTGAAATGATTATTTGTGAGCTCTGCCTTGGGGAAAGCAGGGAGAAGGGAGAGTTTCGTTTCTGGAGGTGGGGAAGGGCTGGGTGACAAGGTAAGACGGGAGAGAGGCACTTCAGTGCAGCAGGGCTGGGTGGCACCTCCAAAGTGACTCTCTTGGCACTAATATCAGTCCCAGTGGGGCTGGAGCCTGGTTGGCTGGATGAGGTCAGTTCTTCTCGAGTCAGCACTGTCCTGCAGCTCTGGGGTAAGTGTGCATGAGCACGTGGGAAGGCAGTGCGTGTGCAGGGGTGTGTGGGTGTTGTGCCTGCTACAACCTAGAAGATAAGGATTTCCCTCCATTGGATCTTGGCAGCCCTGTCTGGTGCCCGATCCTTCAGGACAGACATGCTCAGGCAGTGGGAAGTGTGATTGTGGGAGGGGGTGTGCTCTGGGTCCAGCATCAGATGAACAAATTCAGCCACCACCACGAATAGACCCGACCCCATAGCTCTAGGGGGGGAGCTTGTGCCTTTTCCTGGATCAAGTCCTCACCTTGCACCTCAACTCTGACAGCTAGAATGCCAACCTGTTCCTTGCACCCCAGTGCTTCCCTCCAAGCCCTTGAAGAAGTTTCACATTCATCAAAAACCAGAGTCAGATCCTAAACCCAGCTCTGTGCTGTCTGCTTTCTTCCGGGGCTTCTGGGTCTAAGACTCCATGTCTAGGACCTCTGGAAGGCCCAAAGAAGTTTCCTGGTCCTGGCAGCAGGCATCATCACCCATTGGCCATGGCTGGATCCTGCTCCCTCCCCTCCACCCCTTTCTGGGCACACCCACTTGCCCTTGGCACCAACAGCCCTTAGATCACATTTCCCCAACTCCATCTGTCTTCCCTCCTCACTCATATTTTCAATCACCTTTCACACCAAGGCCGGGCCAGAATATGTACTTAGGAGGCGAGACAATTTGGCTGTAAGAGGAGCTGGAGAATGTAGCTGAAGTTGATCTGCATGGCATGCTTTCTGGATGTGGTGGATTTGGGGCTGACAAAGAATGGAAGGTGGATGATTCCTCCAAAGTACGCCCATTAGCTTTGCCTCTCATCTCAAATATAAGTGGGAACTGGCTGTACCCGCCTTACCCATCAGGAGCCAAATACTTGAGGATGCTGTCACAGCTGCAGCCCCCCTTGAATGTCAGACCAGAGGGTTTGCCTCAAGTCCAGGGGATCCAGCCTTTAGACCAGGACACCTGTGGGCCTGCTTGGAGGGTCTATGCTTGTATCGGTTACAGGACACGCAAGACTGATTTCGCAGCCCCCGGACAGTGCGAGCCGTGTGCCAGCCACGGACTTGGAAGAGGCATAACACTTTACCGACTGTGCCCAGTGAGGCGGCGAGCCGTACCTGAGAGTCCACCTGTGGGGAGGAGGAAGAAAAGCAGGTTCAGCAACTCAAACCAAAACACAGAGGCAAGCGGAGCACAGCAGCCTGGCTCAGGGCCCTGAATCCAGTCCTCTTCTCTGTTGGCCGGTACCTGGGCCAACCGGGGGTGGGGGGTGTGGGGTGTGGGGGGATGGGGGGTGGGGTGAACAAGGGGAAAGGTTTCTCCCTTTGTCTGCAGAGCTGTGAAACAGACACCAGCCCATTGCAAAGGCTGGAGCGGGGACATCAGGAGGGGGACAAGCTGAGAGGAGGCGACTCTCCCTTGTCAAGTCAGCCAGGCATAGCTGCCCTTCACAGCACTGATGACAAATCCGGGAGGAGAAGGAGACAGTGACAGGGCCTGCGGGTAAGACAGAACCCAGATCCAATGTCAGCTCCCCAACACTGGAGCTCCAAGGAGAAGCAAACTCCTTTCCCCTGGGAACATGCCCAGCGTACCCCTCTGGTAGGGGATGTGAGATCACATTTCCCAAACGCCATCTGTCTTCCCTCCTCACTCATATTTTCCCTCCTCACTCGGCTTCCTTTGTAATCAAGACCCAGTGCCACCAGGCACTGCCCTCCGCAGCTGGCCAGGGGTTCAGTTCCTTGCCACCGCTCTCTTGGGCCCCTTTCATTTACTCAGGCAGGCTTCTCCAGAGGCAGGGGGAGCTGTGAAGGGGGTGCAAAGTCTCAGCCCCGGGGTGGAGCATTCGGGTGAGGTTGAATTGGTGTGTCTTTGTCTGTCTCTGTCCTGTCCCTCACTGCCTATCTGTGTTTGATGGTAGGTGGAGAGAGCAGTGCTGGCATAGTATTGGGGAGTCATAGGTGCACCCCAGGGCCAGAGCATAGTACGTAGTTATTGTTTTCATTATCACCGAGCACCTGAACACCCTTGCTACAAGGGGGGATGGATGGGGGCGGGGGTTGTGGAAGGCAGAGCCTAGACCCCCATTGCATCAGCAACAGGGCCTAACATTTCTTCTCCCTGCTCCCAGATACAAAGGAGTAGATGGGGGAGCCAGGCTTGTCCAACTCAATGCTCCCCTCACCTGCATTGCACTCAGTCACTCTTGGCTTTGACACTTGAGAAAGTACATAAAGGAGGCAGGGCCAGCCAAGGGAATTTTCCCAGCAAATCTCTGGGTCCAGAACAGCAATTAAGGCAAACCCAGGGGTGATGTCCAGACCCAGGGGTGATGTCCAGTGGGGTAGCCATCTCCTGAGTCTCCCCGCCTTCTAAGCTGCTTTCTCTAGACTTCTCCCACTGCCTCTGTGAACTAGCCTTCCTAAAAATGAGCTCTGCCCACACTATGCTGGGATGATTTCCCTTATTTCCTGCCAAAAATCCAAATTGATTCAGATGACTTTTAAGAGGACCCTTATCCTTAGAGTTCCTCAATTCCCACCTCTTGAAAGGACACGAGAATAAGAGTTGGGAAGGAATCGACACCTCTGGTTTACCGAGACAAGATTGAACCGTTCAGGGCAGCAGACAGGACTACTGAAGTATCCTGGCCTAGTCTTCCTTTTCCTGAGGAGAGACCACTGCAGAGAGGGTCGCCGGAGGGCACATGTCCTCAGGGTGATGTTCACCTTGTCTGCAAATCTGGCACCCCAGAGCCCAGCACCCTTACAGTAACTCACTTGTCCACGGTCTCCAGAGTTCAGGAGCCCGGGTAAGATGGTAATCATATCCATTTTTTAAGTGCTGTCAAGCCCATTTCTTTACTTTTCAGACAGATGCATTCTTTACTCAGCTGCCCACTTTGCTTAAAGGGGAAGATTTCCTCAGGTTCCCTGGCTCCTTATCAATTTAAATACCAGGACCAGTCCAGACAGCTCAAGAGACACCTGGGTTCCTTTCAAAATTCAGCCAAGGAGGGGCCTCCCTGGTGGCGCAAGGGGTAAAGATGCAGCACTATGAAGCAATCCACAGCCACCGCAGCACGAGTTCTATTCCCGGCCGGCCAGGGAGCGACCCACATGGTGCAGCAGACCTCCCCTGTCTAGCCCCCTGCTCCCCTCAGCAGTGTATTTCAGTCTGTCTGCCTGTTCTGCTCGCCACTCTGTCTCTGGTGAATTTCTCACCCCCTGCACCTCTGGCCTGTACCCCAGCTCTTGTATGCATAAATAAATAAATCTTAAAAAAAAAAAATTCCGCCAAGGAGATGAACATTGCACCTGGAAGCGGGCTCTCAGAAGCCTCAGAGGCTCTAATGGTGTTTGTGGGGACACCTCCTTCAGGGTTATTCTTTGATAGTTTCACAGGCTTGAGGTACCTCAAAACAGTAGTATGTTAACTGCACCCCCAAATTTCTTTCTGCTTTCAAATTCATGCAATTGGGATTAGAAATGTGCTCAGAGAAAGCAGAGCCCAAAGGGCTCTTCTCCTAGAGCCAGAATCATCATTTCTGGGGAAGCCATTTAACCAGCAATGCAAGTGCCTAAGTCCTGCCTTAAACCCTGGACCTGGACCAGATTCTCTGGTACCAGATACTCCCCATCACTCCCGCTGCTCCCTGGGCATGCCCTTCCTGCTCTGGGAGCTTTAGCTTCCGCATCAGTGAAAGTGGGGACACTAGAGGTTTTGAGACAGTGACTGTAAACCTGCTTGCAACTCTGAAATGCTGTTTGGGACTGTACCACTGATGACTTCCCCTTGGAGTGAGCCACTAGTGGGGGTACAGGACAGCTCCCCCATGAGCAGAAGACCTCGAAGCCCTCCCCGTCCATAAATGGGATAAGCCCAGGCTGTGAAGATCACCTTGTCTCAGCGACTCAAAACAGATCTTTCCTAGATATTCTATGACCAAATCCAACCACAGAGGTGCTGGGTATGTTTGACTGAAGACTTGGGGTCATGTGTTGCCCTGTCCCCAGCTCTGCCACCACCTCTGATCATGTCACTTCGCCTCACTGTCTGTTTCTTCAGTTCTGATATGAGGTGAGGGGAGTCCCAGCATTTGGTGGTTACATCATCTTAGTTATTCAAGTCTGTGCAGAAAGGCTGTGGGGTATATGATCTAAGAACACTTTATCTTTGGGGTGCATTAAATTTGGGGGGAAGGAGAAAGAAGCATAGGTATCAGCTTTTCTTCTATAACTCTTTTAAATAATATAAAATACCAAATTCCCTGATTACTTGCAAGTGCGGGTGTGTGCAGGTGTGGGGTACGAGGCAGCCTCTTGAGCTGAAAAACTGGTTTGGAGTTGCATGAAAGGGGAGCAGAGTCTATGGGAGAAGAAAACCTAGCCTTGGATGAGGGACCCAACAGATGCTTGCAAGCAACCACCAACCTATACCTGGACTTTGGTCCAAACATGAGAGCTAGTTACACCCAGGATTGTTTTTTTCCTTAAACGCTTCCTGAAGTTTAGCTAAATTCTCCTACAGTCATGTGCTCAAGCAGTACTGGGACTGCTCATTACAGTGTAGATTTTCAGGCTCTGTCCAAGGAGATTCAGGTTCAAAAGGCTCGGGCTGGTCCCAGGAACCTGCCTGCTTAACAGCTTGTCTTAGACCAGACCACTTTTTTGAGAAGCATTAATGCCTGCAGCATACCAGGAAATGCTGACAATTAACAGAAAAGAAGGCATGGCCCATTGTCAACTTGGTCCAGCCTAACCTCTCCTTCTCAAATTTGATTTGCCCAGATAAACTCTCTAGAGTTTCAAAGTGTTAACCCGGAGGAGTATCTCTATCTTGGTTCAGTGAGCCCCTCTCCCCTGCCGCCTGTTCTCCCTGCCAACGAATACACAAATGTCCTGACCAGGCAAGCCCTGAACTGGCTGCCTTACCTTGAACACCTCAAAGCTTAGTGGAAATTTCTCCTCTTCTGCTTTGAAATCCTGTGGCATGATGGTGAAGGACACAACAGCGTTGTTGCCTCTCGTGTTGTCTGGCACTGAGAAGATGAACTGCGAGTATTTCTGAAGTCCTTCTGCATGAGAAAGGGCTGTTACTAGGGTTGGCCTAAGGCCCTGGGACTCTCAGATGGGACTGGTCCAGTCCAGAGAGGCCTGGGGGGCTGTGTGCGGAGCACTGTACTTGGAGACCTGAGGCCTGTGTCCGAGGCCCCACGGATGGTGGCTGTGGTGCTAGCTGCTTTATTGGGCGAACCTCAGCCTCCTCCTCTTAAAATCAGGGAGGGGGAGTTGACTCCCCTCTTGGTGAGAATGTTTCTTAAACTATAAGGTTGAAGACTATTTTTATAAAAATGAGTGAGCCCAGGTATGTACTGGTGATAACCCCAGGGCCTTGAAGTGACACCGAGCCCCCATGCACCCATGGAGACAGGAAAATGGCGATTCATCAGAGCTAGAGCAAGAAAGAGAACTCATGGAAACGGTTCTGTTCAAATGTATGAGCGAATGAAGTGACTTAAGCTGGAATTGACACACGTCAGAGGCTGGGCTCACACCTGGGAAGCTCTGAAAGGTGAGTGGGAAGACCCAGGGGGCTGCATGGCTTTTTGAGGACTGGGCAAGATGACACACCAAAGAGCACAAAGCAGCACCTAGTAGGTGCCTGCTCGCTGGCTCCCTCCCTCTCTCCCTTGTAGGGAATTATTAAAAATGTATAATTTAGGTTAGTTCAGACGCCAAGGAACCACTGAGTTACTGCCTGGCTGCAAACTCACTGATTCACCTCCCTGAGCTGCACCTGCCTGAGTGTGGGCCCACAGCCCTCTGCTCTGGATGGAGTTCATGTCCATGAATGAACCAAAATCTAGTCTGTTAAGTTCTCTTTGTGCTTCCAGCCAATGGTTCAGACTCAAGGGCCACTAGGAGCTGAAGCCAGGGCCGGGCTACAGGAGAACAATCACCCATGTCATAACTACCTGCAGACATTCCTGGAATCACGCGGTCCTTATATGCCATTTGGGACCATCTTTCGCAGGCCATATTTCCATGGGCCAGGCTGATCGGAACTTGATTGCATATATACAGGCAAGAGAAATTCTCTTGGAAATCTCGACATGACATCCTGTTAAAAAAAAGATACACATCAAATAAGGGACCAGGAAATAGACTACTTAGAATAAAGAAAAAAATAAAAATCAACAAGCAACTATAAACCAGAGACACACTACGGGGGGCAGGGAGAGGAGAGGAGGGATTAGGGCCAAAATAAGGAGGGGGGGTGAGAATTATATGGGGAATATAACCAAAATAAAAATGCCTACATTGTGCAAAAATGAAAAATGATGTAAGAATTATATAAAATAAAAAAAAAGATACACATCACTGGCTTTACCCCTGGAGCAGGGAGGGGGGCTCCCATCACTTTACGCAACCTTTGCCCTTCTGGGACAGTATCCATTGACTGACCATGGTCTACCCAAAGACCAGAGCCTCATTCTAGTCCATTCACTGGCATGTAGACTTCTGCTCCCTCCAATGGGGAGGATGAGGACAGCGTCAACTGTGGGCTCTGTATGTCACCTGGCAGGGGCTTTATCGTCCACGGCCATCTCCTCAACTTACAGATCAAGTTGTGAGCCATCTGGAGGTCAGCAGGATGACTGCTGTCCTCTGGTATGGGTCCCACACACTGCTGCCAGGAAAACCACCCTTCCCTACGGTCTTCTCCCAATTCCATTGTTGAGAATACAATGAATTCAACACCTAATATCCCACCTTGTGTTATGATTAAAGTATAAGTGTCAGCACACCCTTATAAAGTATACAGATCAGAAGTATTTTTCCTTTTAATTTACATTTGTCCATCTGATCCTCAGTCTCTTTCCATATCTGTTGATTTCATTTGAATATGGCACTGCCTACACCAGCCTGTCCTTCAGAGAAATGTCCACCTTCCCCTTTATGATGTAGGCAGAAACCTGGACACACAATCTAGAATCAGATCTGGTGGCTTAACACTAAGTTGGTCTTTGGAATTCATGCCAGGGGAGGCTGTGGAGTTCCAGGGTCCCCACATGATAACATTGAAGATACAAGTCTGGCCCGCATGCACCCCAACTTCTAGGAAACTACTCATTTCAAAGCATTGGTGGCAACAATCCCAAATCCCTTTTACCCAGAACAGAGAGAGCACAATCAAGTCACTTTCCATCCAGAGACCAGGTCTCTGCAAAGTGAATATTCTCATGGAAGAGGTTGAGGGAAAGGGACGGGGATTGAGGATTGGGGCAAGTGTTAAAGATTTCAAGTATCTTTTTCAAAAAATAGTAAATACCAAAACTCTCCATCTTCCTTATTGTCATGTAGCTGGTTTTTCCGTTGGTCTGGCGTTTCCTTCCACTCCCGAGACCTGAGCGTGGACAGACAGACCAATGGTGAGACTTCTCAGAGCATTTCATCTCGGCCACAGGCGGCCACTGGATCTTGGCACAGCCTAGATTAGTCCCCGGGGTGCACGTGGACAGATCCATTAGTCTCTGTATGCTGATGGCTCCCAAATTCTATCCCCAACCTGATTCTCTTTCCCGAGCTCTTAATAGATACTCGCTACTATCCATCCCATGTCCCCACCAGACCCCCACAGTGGCCTTGAGATCAGCCTGTCCCCACTGTGCCATCCCCTCTCCTATCTCTGAAAGAGACAGGAGCTGTCACTCTTTCTCATAACCGTCCCAAATCCAAATCATCACCAAACATTTGTGATTTATCAATTCTGCCTCTCCAGCCCCTCTTAAAGTCATGCAGGTACTTCCCTCCCTACTGCTGATATCACAGCTCGGGAACCCTTAGCTCCCACTGGCCTCCCTGATCTACATCCCACTACTTCCTCTCTGTTGTCCACACCGCCATCAAAATGATTTCTCTAAAATAGAAATCTGTTTCTGGCATTTTCCTGCTTAAAAACACCAGTAGGTCTCCTTTTACTCTCAGGGTGATGTCCACACCCCTGAAATAGAACCTGGGCTCAGTCATCCTCTCTGCTTGATCTGAGCAGCTCCCCATTTCTCCTCTCCCCCCTGCCCTTGATTCCAGGTAATAAAGAATGTCTTCATGTCCTTATACACACCTGTCTCCCCCCGCCCCTTGATGCCTACCACAACGCTCCCTCTGCCTGGAACGCTCCTCCCTTTATCCTGTAGCCCAGTAACTTGTACTCAGCTTGCTCTTGAAAGTCACTTCCTCTGGGAAACCTTGCTGGCCCCCCATGGTACTCCCACTCCACCTTGGAGCCCCCATAACCCCTGCCCCTTCCTTGTCTGCACTCAGGGCCTCTGTTTCTGCCTCACTGGACTCCAAAGGCTTAGGGGGCTTCACTGGCCATGATATCACAGGGCTTTAGTGCAATACCTGTGCACACAGGGTGCATGCAATGCACCTTCTTGCTTGCTTAGTTCATTAAGGCAGTCCCCTGCAATAGGATGATGTCATCCAGAAGCTAGTCCTGGGGTCGGTGGTGAGGCGGAGACTCTCCCAGGCAGAGGGAAACCTTCATCCTCTCAAAGTGGAAGCTCACTCATTGGCAATGAGTCCACAGCACAGAACATAATGAGATCTTTCTCCAGGAGTGACTTGCCTCCAGGCCCTGGGTCACCTCTGTCACTGAGAGCAAGGCAGGGACCACCCCTCTGGCTTCCGTCTGCAGGCTGAGCCTGTCAGATGTGTTATTGTAAAATGGCAATTTTATAATTAAGTGATAATTACATTTTCTGCAGTGTGTAAGGGAAAATAAATGTAGTGTAAATCAATATGCTATCGATTCATGCAAGTTTGCCTTTAAGTGTGTGAGACTGAAATTTCAATTATGGCAGAGATTAGACATCCAGCTCTCTCCATTCATCTCTACTCCTTAAAAAGGAGAGGGGGATTTTATCATCTCTGTGGAGGCAGAGGTTAGGGGGGATTTTATCATCTCTGTGGAGGCAGAAGTTAGGGGGGATTTTATCATCTCTGTGGAGGCAGAGGTTAGGGGCCCCAGCACTTCTTTTGTTTCCTGGGGGGAAATGTGACCCTCAGCTTTCAGCCCCCAGCCAGAGTACATGTTCCCACATAGTAGGGGCCGCCAGCTGCATCTCCTGTCCGGCCTGCACACATCTGTCCCTGTTCAAGGCCTTTGCAGAACCCCAGCTGGCCAGGTGTGACTCAATCTCCCAGGCTGGCACCAGCTCTCTGACCCAGCTCCCTGTGCTTCTTCCAGGTTGCTCTGCCTCAGGCTGCTTGCTGACCCTGAACCACTACACAGTTCCTGGCTCAGGCAGTGACCTACACTTCCCCTGCCTACCTATTCATTTCTTCTGGAGTGAATAATAATAATAATTTTTTTTCAAGGTTGAACTCAAGTGCAACCCCATCCAGGAAGCTTTCTCTGAACATGAACAAGCTTTCTCTGAACATGGCAGGCCTTTGCTCCTGATACCTATGCCCCTTGCTGCTTCCCCTGATCATCTGCTATTTAACGTGGGGGGCGTAGGCACAGCATCAGCTCCCGAGTCTATGGCCTGTCCTCCCAGCCAAAGCACATGTGTCATCGGCTTTGACCTTTCTTCCACCACTGCTCCCAGGAGGCAGTCTTAAAACAGGGATTTTTTAGCTAGTTGTTTATCACCTCTCTTCCTTTCCCCTCGCTTGATTCCAAATGTCCACTCTAACTGGATGCTCATCTCACCTTGCTGAGGTCCTCTTGGGCCAGGCATGTCTCAGTGGTGGGGGCTCACAGAGGATCAGAGGGTCCCCGCCACAGTCTGCCTGGGCCATCACGTCAGGCTCTGGGTGGCCCAGAATCAAGGTCTCTGGCCAACCCTGCACTCGCCTTTCAGAACTCACTTTTCACTGCATTGGCATTCACACTTCCTGGGGCCTGGCTTCCTGTTTGTCTCACTGCTTTGCATCTCCTTTCGGGCCATGTTCTCTTGGCTCTTGCCTCCATGGTGCGGCTGTGGCCAGGCCTGGTCTCTCGACACTTTCCATGTGTCCATACAGGTACGCAGAGACAGGCAAAGGGATTGGCTGCTGAGCAGCGAGTCACCTATCACTGTCCTCTGTCCTTCTCAGGACTGCATCCCAGTCTCAGTCAGCAAGGAGCAGAGAACCAGGGATCAGTCTGGCAGCTGGGAAATGCCAACCCAGTTCCCTGGGAACCACTAGCTACACTTCTGGGGCCAGCCGTTCAGGGGACCAACAGGAACATCTAAGACCTACTGTGAGGAGGAGCCAGCCTAGGTACTGGTGACACCGGGAGTCCACCTCCGTGGGCAGGACGGATGACCCTGGAGGACTGCATGAAAAGATCTTACAGATCTTTGCCTCAGTTCTCCCAACACCCCCCAAAATAACGCCATGGATGAGAAAGTTTCTCAGGATCAGAAAGTTCCCATAGATTCCCTTTATGGGATGAGGTTCCTTCTCCCCATCTCTCTCTGCTAAGTAGAATTTGGCTCCTGTACTGCCTGTTATTATTATCATTATTATTTTGCTAATTCTGCATATGTGGGCTCACAGCTCTGGACTATAACCTTCTGGAGGACAGGCACTGGGCCTTGCCATCTGCTTGTATCTCACAGCACCCACCTAACACCATGCACTTAGTACAAAGAGTACACAGCAGGTGTCTAATGGATGCTGCTGGACAGCATCATAGAAATGGGAGATGAACCAACAGCCACACATAGGTGTGAACTGGACAGACTTGCAATGAAACCCACAACAGGGGAGACAGAGGTCACCCCCTGGGGCAGGGAGCACTCTGCACATGGGGTCTCTGTGGAGGACAGAGAGAAGTTTCAGAAGCCATACCCATCTCTCCAGGAGCCTTTCCACTCAGTTTTGCCCCAGGGGTTCCATAGGCGGATCAGATCTTCCCAGCCCCTCCTGTACTGAATCTGTAAAGAAGAGAAAAGGGACCTGTCAGCGCTCTCCAGCAAGTCAGCAGAGAGAGGGGATATGAATGCAGCTGCCTCTTACCTCCAAGGACTAATTTAACTTCTGACCTCATTTGGCTGCAGCCAGAAAAAAAACATTGAAAGAAAAAAAAAAATCAATGTCGCTGCCGCCTGCATGGAAATGGAATGAAGGAGAGGAGAAAATGGCCCCCTTTCTGCTCAGCGCCTCGCAGGGCAGGTGTGACTTCATCATTCCGTACCACTGCCTCCGAGAACCGGATGAGCGGAGATTTAATAGCAGATAAATGGTGTGGGATGTTGCTGCGGCTAGCAGAGGGGAGCTCTTGATGGGTCCCCGGCCTCCTTGGGGCCCAGCATAGCTGGCACCTCCATTCCAGGGACATAGCTGCTTTCCTGCCCGGGGCTGTTGGGGCTGTGCCATGGGCTCCACGGCATTTTTCTGAGCCAGGTGACAAGAGCCCAGGACGGCCTGGCGGTGGTGATGTCAGAGACGGCCCTCCTCCTCCTGCAAGCCAGGCTGTACGTGGCGCCTGTGGCCCTGCCTTTCTTGCGAGCCTGATGCCGGGATGGCCTGAACTTTCCTCCTTTATTGGGGAGCTCATCATCTCTCACTCCCAGATACAGAGGTTGCATTTGCTCCTCTGGCCACTGATGCCAGAGAGCAGGCCTGCTGTAAAGTTATAACAAAAGAAACATAACCCTTTGAACTTAAACTCCTAAGCCCCGAAGTCCCAAGTCTGGTGAGAGGAATTACAGCATGATTGAGCTGTAGCTGTGATATTGATCTGTGCTAATGCTGTCTGAGGAGAGAGAGGCCGGGAGGGGTAAGGGAAGGGGTGAACTTTTCAATGATTCTAGGTCAGAGGAGGCCGCGAAAGTCCAGAGTGGAACAGCACCATGTGGAAAAGAACTTGTGTGTGGAGAGAGGGCTAAGAGCAGGCACTAGCTGGGTGCCCAACATACCTAACCTCCTAGGTAGAGGCTCATGTAACCGCTGTCATGATGCAGAGGAAGAAACTGAGCATCAGAGAGGTTAAGGAACTTTTTCAAGGTCACAGAGCAAGTGGCAATGACAGCATTCTGACCCCAGACACAATCAGTCTCCAAAATCCAAGCTCTCCATTTTGGGATTGTGAGTGGATCAAAGATACAGCTGCTCCAGGGCCCAGTCCTTTCTCAGATAGAGATATGACCCTGACCTTGAATTCAACTGCCGGCCCAGTTGGCCAAGGTCCATTCATCAACAATAGGACCTGGTCATAAAGAAGCCATGCAATCTGACAGGGTCAAAGAGCTTGGTGAGGATAAAGTTCTTTCAGTGGCTTTGCCCTGCCTGCTTCAGTGCAAGGTGTTCTGGCTTGTAGTGACAGGGGGCCAGGGGCTCCAGGCACAAACACACTTTCCCTGCCCTCTGTGTCCTGTGTCCAGATGCTCCAGACCTTGTGCACAATGCATTATTAACCATCAGTACCTGACAGAGCCCCCAGGCAGGTGGGGGGCTTGAGAAATGGTTGCCTAGTGGCCCAAAGAGCTTAATGAGCCACTCTCAGAGCCTAAGGGAGCATCAGGGGCTCAGCTGGTCACAGGGAGAGGAGAGTGGCCAGGGATTGGAAGGAGCTGAAAGCAGAGCTAAATGAGGCATGCAGATAAACACTCACCCCCTGCCCAGGGGAGTCACCGGCCAAGCTAGGTGCATAATAAAAAATGCCAATTTCATTTATCTTCCTGTCTGTGTCCCGCCTGCAGGGAGGATGAGCAGATTAAAAAGCACACTACATTTACGGGCTGGTTTAATCTTCGCATGTGTCGCCAGAGTTATAGCCTTCTCTCTCTGGAGGAGGAATCTTTAACTAAGTCAGGTTCTTGGACCCTTATCTGACTATGTCACTCCTTTATGACTGTGTCCTATTGGTGATCGCATGGACCTCAGTCAAGCGGCTCAGGGGTCACATTTCCAGGCTAAGAGCCCACTACATCTGGGAATAGTCACATCTGGCTCAGTTGCTTCACCATCCTGGTTACTGACTGTACCACTGGCTCCAGTCAGCTCTCTGAAAGGCTATTACCAGGCAGAGGTGATTCAGGTTCTCTATCCTCAGATAGCATTTCCTCAAAGATGTTTTACAAATGCTAATATCATAGTTAGTCCTAGAAAAAATGTTTCATGGCTAAAGGTAGATTAAAACCGTGCTGTACATGTATGGTTCATCAAGCCTCTTCCAGAGCCTTTAAAATGTTAATGTCCACTGGAAATCTACAGCAGGGAATAAGGTGAGCAGCAGTTTCTGAAGGTATTTGGGGGCCCTCTTGGGCTGGTACTCCTTGGAGCACATGCAGGCAAGTGTTAGCCACAGCCAGATGGCAGGAACGGGAGGACAGACCAGATGTATGCAGTCTGGATCGCCTCCCGCAAGAGGCTTAGCATGTGCTATGGGGGCACAAACACTCAGGCTAAGAGCAGGATGACCAGGGGCCCGAGTCCACTATGCCCCCGCTTGGAGTCCTGAATTCCCCTCCATCACCTTGATCCAGGTGTTTACATGGCCACTCGATGCCCAGCAGTCACTGCCATCCCAACATCCAGCCTCCATGGGGACTCACATTCATGGCCATCGGGACCTCTGGAGACACAAGTTCCTCCTCCCCCGTGTTCAGAGGAAAAACAAAGACTGTCTCAATGCATATATGTAACATGAAGCTGCCCAGTGTGTAAGTGGAGGATCACAATGGACATTAGCACAATAACAAGGCCTGTGCGGACAGCAGACACGATGCAGCACTGCTCTGCATCCCATTCCCTGCACAGATGCCATTCATCGTCACAGTGCTCCTTCCCCAATCCTGGAGGCAGGGCCAGCACAGTCTCTCAGGCAGCATTGCCAATCGATTCACTGGCACGTGAGATAAATGACTTGCTGCCCCTAGCTTGGATTTGTCCACATCTGGGACAGGGTGGCTGTGGGGAGCATAGCAGTCACAGGTGGCCAGGGGTGATGACCGTCTTGGCTGTTCCCACTGGGAATTCCAAGGAAGGGCTTATATCTAGGGCTGCTTCTGACCTGGACTTCTTAGGGCAGCCTCTTTCTTGCCTGGGGGAAAGCTCTGCAGCTCCTCACACATGTGCTATGACAGTGGAGCACTGTGACATCATCGCAGGCCAAGGACACACGTTCATCCACTGATGCCAGTGCACTCACCCATGACTCTACACGTGGGCATTGGGCACTTACTCCCTCCCAGGTGGTGGGCAGGGAAGGCATTTTGTTACTGATTTCCTTAGGGAGACAGGCGGGAGACAGCAGATACTGTGTCTGCTCTGCGATTAGAACACGCACCAGAACACAAGACAATGGAGCAACTGGCTTAAGGGGAGTGGACAAGAGAGACAGATGGCTCCAGCGACAGAGGAGGCAGATATGAGAAAGCATACCAGAGACAGAACCTGACACCTCGTTCCTGGGCCCATAAATACCTGTGAAAAACACCTTGGTGTTTGGATCACTGTCTCTGAGGCTCCATTACTAGACCTCAAGAGTGCTGGGAAAGGTGGAGTTGGGAGAAGCTGGAGCGAGATCATCCCCAGACCAGGAAGCGCTGTCTCCACACACCGACATGGTCATTACAGACGGGGACAGAGGAGTCATGGGGTCTAAGCCCAGCCCCTTCAGTAGCTGTGTGACCTTGGACGACTCCCCTCCCAGGCCTCAGCTGCTCATTTATAACTCCAGGAGGCTGGCTTCTGGTGGTGTTTTCTTGACCAGATATACCACACACAGTAATTACGGACATTTTTGTCCACCCAGAATCAATTCTTGCCTCAGGGGGAAGGCTGTCCCCTAAAACCCAACCTCCCTTTTTCCACAAGAATCAAGTTTCACTGGGCATATGGCGGCCCAGCTAAACAGCATGTTTCTCAGACTCCCTTGGGTCTTGGTGTAGCCACGTGATTAATTTCAGACTAATGGGATGTGAGAGGAAACAGTGACTGCCTTTCCAATTCATGCCTTCTATCTGGTGCATGAGTGTCCACTGGCCTCTTCCTCATCCCCTAAGTGGGAATGAGGTCTCACAGGCACATGTTGTGGATGGAGTGACACCTACCATCTCTAGAATCACCTGCTTACTTGAGAGAGAGAGAGAGAGAGAGAGAGAGAGTTGCATGGAACAAATAAAACCCTTTTAGGGTAAAACTTTAACCAGAGACAGTCAGGTTGTCTATTTCTTTTTGGGAGGGGGCATTGCTTAGCCTCTAGCTTAGTTAGATACTCCGCCTGTTTGAGATCAGTTTGAGGATAGCAAGATCTTGGGGTCAGGTCGGGGGGGTGGCCTGGGGGATGAGGATATTGGGTACCAGAACTTCTAGATGAAAAGAAGAATGAGGATGTCCATGACGGACTTGACCATGGGGGCAGGAGTGAATGGATATTTGTTTCACGATGTGGGGTTTGCTGAAAGCATGTGCTTATGATTCCTGCTTAAAGGAGCAAGCTGAGGGTTGGGGGGGGCACAATCCAGGGGAGATTACCTGCTCAGCTCCAGTCACCGTGTAGGCATGCTGACTGACCAGGCCGTTCTCCAGTTCCGTGGCCTTACCCGTAGGCTACAAAGTTGAAAAGTAGACCAAATATTAAACCTGCACGATTCCACAATTGCATGAGCAGCTGAGCTGCGGCTGGATCAAAACTGTCCTGCTGACTCGTAGAGTGGAATGACATATGCTCCTGGCATCTTTTCTAGAGAGGTAGAGTTTGAGGGTTGCTGGGTAGCTGAGGCCCCAAGTACTTCATACCTCAGGAGATTACCCCATTACTGATAGAACCACACTGAGTCCAGGGGCCCAGGATTTTTGCCCCTCCAATTAGTCATCACTAATGAGATACCACAAGATATATGTCTACTGGGCTTTTTGTAGGAGTCAAGGATACCTGCCCCCCATGCTCTGAGTAATTGAAGTTTAAATACATCTTGGTTTGGGGCTTGTGACTCACAGCCCATGTGTTTAAAAAGCAGAGGAAACATGCCCAGGGATGGGGGCCTAGCTGTCTCAGGAGAGACCCATAACTTGGAGGGTGGCCCAGCCTTTCCCAAACGCGACCTTACGCCCTCGGGGGCTGCTCTTTCACTCAGTGGGCTCACCGCTCTGGCTCATGGGGAAGTGCCAGGCAAAGGCTTTGTTTGGCATGAGGCAGCAGCATGTGACTCCCTGACTGCGTGATGCTGAGCATTTTATGTAGCTTCTCTGAGTCCATTTCCTCTTCTATAAGTGGGTTCTGCAGGCTTCTGCAAAAGGAGGGCTGTCGTAGGCATTAAAGGAGGCTAGCTGGGTGAGCACAGCACCGGTGCGCTCAGTCCCGCACTGGCTGCCAGATGGGCGGCTGGCTGAGCATTCCTGGGTGAAAGATGAGAGCACAAAGAAAGTCCCAGACTACTCACCCCTGCGGGGGTGGCGCAGGTGATCAGGGAGCCTGCCTTGGCCGCGATCTTCACCATCATCACCAGGTCAGCAGGGGATGAGTGCAGGTCGAAGCTGGTGACCACGCCTCCCGTGAGGTCCACCAGGGCATCGGCAAGGTAGCCGTAGTTCAGGTTGACATAGGATCCACGGTACCTGGAGGGGGACGTCAGATCAACCCTCATGGAGCCTTCAGTGGGATACTCTCGGGAGGGAGGTGAGGTGGCTCACTTGACCTCTGGATGTTCCCGGGTGAAGGACTGCCTGATCACCCTGGATCTTGCCCACCCACTTTCCTTTCTCCTAGATGAAGAGTCTAGCAATGTACTGATGTGCCACCATTACTGCCTTCCACCCCGGGGGCAGCCCTCAAGTGGCAGCATTGTGTTGAGGTCAGGCATGCAGGTGTTGGAGCTACAGACCAGGGGGCAAATCCCAGCCTCGCCACACACTTAGCTGCATGACCTTGGACACATTACCTGGGCATAGCATTGTGGTTGCACATGGCAAGCCCTTCATAAATGTTAGTTATTCTGCACCCCTATGCTGATTGCAGCACTATTTATAATAGGTAAGATTTGGAAACAACCCAAATGCCCAAAAATAGATGGCTGGATCAAGAAGATGTGGTACTTATACACCATGGAATACTACTCGGCAATCAAAAAGATAAACTAATGCCATTCATAGCAATATGGATGGAGCTCAGTGAAATAATTCAAAAAGAGAAAGAAAAATATCAGATGGCTTCACTTATAGGAGGAATAGAGGGGAACCAAATAAGGGATCAGGGAAAAATAATAATAAAACCACAAAAAAAAATAAACAGACAATTATAAATCAGAGATATTCTGCAGGGGAGGGGGAGGGAGAGGGATCAAAATGAGGGTGGGAAGAGCACAAGGGACTACGGTGACGGTGCACAGGTGAATGGGTGGTGGGAATTCTATGGGGACGGCACCTGAGAAAAGAAAGCCAAAACTGTAAAAAAAAAAAAAAAAAATGAACCATAGGGCCTCCCTAGTGGCGCAGCGGTTGAGCGCTGGGCTGCGAAGCTTCCCGCAGCCTCTGCAGCGCCGGTTCGATCCACGGCTGCTGGGCGAGGGTCCCACATGGCACACAGACCTCTCCTGCCGCCCGCTGCTCCCCTCAGCAGTGTACTTTGGTCCTTCTGCCTGCTCTGCTCCCCGCTCTGGCTCTGGTGAATTCTCTCACCCTCCCGCGCTTCTGACTGTACCCAGTGCTTGCATAAATAAATAAATAAATCTTTTTTTAAAAAAAAAGAATAATGTAAACTGTATATAACTAAATTTAAAAAATAAAGATTAGGTTTTATAATGAGTCCCCACTATTTCTTGTTCAGTTTAGCAATAGTGGTAACTACATCCAGCATGCAGGGCACCGTGCTAGGTAGCGAGCGTTTAAAGATGAGGGAGACCCATTGCTCTCTGCAAGGAAGTCATTGTGGACAGGACTGCTGCGGCTACCAGCAAACCCTAATCCAGGATTCTCAATCCCCTTCTCACCTCTCACCCCAGAGTGATCAGCAAGGTAAAGCAGCCTTACTGGGGGTAACATAGGTGAGGATAAATCTTACATGGCACCTCCCAAAAACAAAGCACTTAAATTGCCACTTCACACCCTGCCATCAAGGCTTTTGCATCTGGACAGCTGACCCCAAAGAAAGTCTGTCCTTACTGCCCCATTTTACCTTCCTCCCAACTCTCCCCGCGCCTAAGTATCCCCAGTCACTTACTAAGGAGGCAGACAGGCTCCAGCCAGAGCCAAAGTGCTTGGGTCCAACTCCTGGCTTTTCTTTCATGACCTCTCAATCTTTGAGTAAGATACTGGGCTTTTCCAAGTTTCCCCTCGCCCCTCTGGGGAATGGGCATGTTACAGCACCTGCCTGGTGACATTCTCCACTTCACAGCACATAGATAAGTGCCTTAGAGGTTGTGCTTGCTGCTCCCAGAGTTCCCCCAAGTAGTCTGCCCCTTGGTGACAGCACTCAGCCCCTGGGACACTGTCTTCTTAGAAGGAGGTTATAAATCATGACATACTGGTTTTCTTTGCCTTCCCCCGGTGTCTATTTGTGATTGTAACAGGGTGGTCCCCAGGAAAGGGGGAGGTTCCCTGCCCCACCCAAGGGATGGTGGAGCTGAGCAGGGAAAGAAGAAGATGCAGAGGAGACTGAGGAAGGAAGGAAGTAGGATGGAGCCAGAAGGAGACCTGGAGGAGGCGCATGGAGCCTAGAAACACGTGAAGAAACTGCGCTTGTCTTTTGGTCGTGGACGGGGTGACACAGATGCGGGTGAGACCCGTGGGGAGGTGACCATGGCAGCTTTTATCTTGATGTTGATTTTGCTCTTTTCCTTCCGGGCTTGTCTGGTTGCTTCTGGCCCTTTTCTGTGGGTCCCCACTGGAAGATGCTTTAGACTTGTGGCAGGCTTTGGGGCCTTGCTCTGGGCCAATCCCATATGGATGGACTTTTACGCACGAGGGGACGGGTAACTTTGGGTGCTTCATTTAGAAACTAGATTCTTTGCCTTTCCTGTATTGTTTCCTAATTGTATTAAAGTTCCTTCCCATTAAAGTCTCATGTTTTATGTTGATGCGGCGGATGGCAGAACCCTATATAGAATAAGCAGGTTTGCGGGGTTTGGGCTGCCCCTCTCCCTGCCCTGTAACACTGTGAGAGCACATGGATCATCTTGGAACAGAGAAAACCTCTGAACCCAGCCTAGTTCTGAGTCTAGAAACCTAGGGGAGGCTTCTGAGAGGGGTACAGCTGTGGTTGAGTGTTATACGGGTAAGGAGAGTGGGCTGGCATTCCAGGCACAAGGAATCAAATTGGGGAGGCTCCCCAGAGCTGGAAGAGCACAGTGGAGCAGGACCTGTATTGGGCTCAGTGCCGTCCTCAGGTAAGAGGGTGGATGGATCAGTCATAGAGAGAACCACTGAGGCAGGAGCCAGACAAATCCTTTGTTCTGAGAACTCAAGTTCCTATCAGTGGGGTGAACTGGGAAGTAAACAGGGGGCTGAGGCCAGGCTGACGGGAGATCCTGCGCTGCTTGCTGTTGTCAGAGCCACGCAGTAGGAGCTACCCTTATCCTGCCCTCTCACTGGGGCTCCTCACTAGGGGCCTGAGCTCCCCCGTCCCTGGTGGGCAAGTGGAGGCCAGTCCCTTCACAGCTAGGGGGCGTGCAGTGGGGATCCCCTCTCGTGGCTTTCTCTCGTAATGCAAAACCACATGGGGGCCTGGAGCCTGGTCCATCTCTGGGGCTACTGCTAATGGGGTGTGCATCATTGAACAAGTTCTTGTGGGGTCCTTGGTCCTGGAAACAGTGAGACTGATTGAGTCGGCTCAGGGGGGAGGGTAGCGTTCTCCTCAGATGCTCCTCTCTCACTGTATCTCCACCTCTGTCATTATCGCCTCTGGGGCTCACCCAGAATTCATATAAATTCCCTTCAACAAATATGTTTCAAGCAGACACTGTAGCAGGACACCCCCAGGAGCACACCCCATGAGTGGCTCTGGAGACTTTTAGTAATGAAAGCTAAGGGTTTACAGAACAAAGAGCCATTTCACAGAACCAGCAGAGACTGAGCTCTCTCTCCAGCAGAGACTGGTTATAGAACTGGTGTTGAGTCTTATCTTCCTATCTCCCCTCTATGGCCCAGGAATGCTGCCAGTTCTATATGCTTATCTCTAGATAAGAGAGTTTGCTCAGTCAAACACAGAACCTTCCTTTGATCATGATCATGCCCAGTTCAGCCTGAATGCCTGACTTGTTTGATTTCCCACATGCCATCTGGCACCTGGTCCCAAATTAAGAGCTTTGTTGAAGGTACTAGAGAGCCACAAAGACTGGGGTTCTGGAACCTTCAGCATGACCTTCACTGGACAGCCTGTGGGTCTGCTACTCCTAGGCAGACTATTTGGCTGCCATTTTGTCACCTAAACAAGGTCAAAGTGGCCCGACCAGTTAGGAACAGGAGCCCAAACCCTTAAGCCCTTCAGATCAAACAAGAGCACAAAGCTGGATCACACTGGGAAGGTTATGCATCACAAGGTATGTCCAGAACGCCCGGGGGGCTGAGGACCGATGCATAACATATACTCCCGACTTATACATCACAACGTATGACCGGGAATGCCCGGGGGGCCGAGGACCAATGTATGACAAGGGACCCCAGAAGATGATCAGTGGAGAGCCTTGTTGATAAGATTAGAACCATGGCTGGGGATTAGGGTGTAGCATCAAGTAGATTAGAAGTGCCTGGAGGGCAGACTCACAATCCCTAATCTTCTACACCCTTCCCCTTTCTTTAATCTCATTAATCTCCTTACAATCAATTACATGTGTCAATAAAAGGGCCAGGATCTTGCTCTTCAGCAGCATCCTGCATTGTGTAGCCTGCTCCACGACTCCCATTTGTCAGTGTGGTGTTGTCCGACGCAACAACAGCCCTTCCTGGAGATGGACTCAGGGTCGGCCTGACTTCAGAGAGAGCTGCACCCGAACCACTCCAGAGAAGCAGCTGTTGGTTCCTGCACCATCTTGTCAGGCCCAACCCCTCTGTGTCTATAGGGTTCATCTGACATCGTGTGTCCACACCATTCTGTGGTCACCCCAGAGACACCTGTGCAGTGGGGAAGGACCATGGCCAGCAGAAGCCCCTCTAGGGTCTCCTGCAGCCTCCCCTCACCGCCTCTGCAGCACCCACAAAGCCCATCACAGTGGCAGCTGGGTGTTTTGACAAGGAGCTATCTCTCTGCTTTACAAACAGAAGCTCACGAATCCTGCTGATGCTTCGGGAACATGGCAACTATTCTTAGCCTCCTTTGCTGACAGGGAATAGAAAGGGAAGGAAAGATAGAACTGTGTTCGCCACACCTGTCACTACGCCTTGTCACCTGAACCCAGAAATTCTGAGAGAGCCTCATTCTCATCCCTCTGCTTCAATCTCATTTGGGGGAAACATCTATCTGTCCAACAGTGATATGAAAGAGGGAAGAATTAGGATGTCTAAATCAGAGCCAGAAAGACTGCTGAAATGCCGCAGTTGCTAACTGCAGCAATTCATGAGGGACAACATGGGGCTACCAGATCTGGTCCCCAGCCTCCTCTCTATACTGTCACCTCTGGGGGCAGGAAGGGAACCACAAACACAGATTTTCCCCAACTCCCAACACCTGACTGACTTGATCAATTCATTTTCAGACTCCCCAGTTACAGGATACTTGAAAATTTGGAGTCCATGTGCTCCCTGGGCATACCCTTGGAGGGAAGAGGGTGTCCCCACCCGGATGGAGGGGGGGTTCCATCTTCATGCTGTGGGGCCCATGGGCCACAACTGAGTCCTAAAGAAGCACAAAGACAAGTCCTTTCTTTTTCAATGGGACTGAGAGTATCAAGGGTTGATAGGAAAGAACACGACCAGGGAGAATAATTCTCCTGCCAAATTGTTGTCTGTGCCCATGTGATCTTGGGCAAGTCATGTCACCCCTCAGGGCTTCAGTTTCCTTATCTTTCAAAGATAGGAGGGAGGCTCAAAGCTGACTGAAGCCTCTCCAGCTCTGGAAGGCTACACTTCTATTCAGTTCGCTTCTACATCCTATGACTTCCTTCTTTGATGGAGGGAAAAGCTTTTAAATAGCTTAGTAATTTGAAACATTACTAAACTCGATTTCTTTAGGCGATTGAGTGTGAATTCTTGGTCCAGTTTCCCATTTCTTTTCAAGCTGAGTGATTGCTTTAGGTCAGCTGTTAACAAAACGGGGTCAAAGTCATCATTTCATTCCGCAAGCTTTCTAATTCTCCAAGTGAGTTACCAAGCTACCCTCTTTTACATAAGGGGAAAAAAATACAAGACCCTGAGGTCATAAGGGCTGAATCCATACTGGAAAGATAATGGTAATATCTGTATACGTAGCTTAGAAGTGAATTAACCTCCCCAAATATATGGATTGACTCAACAACCTTAACTGTTATCTGTGCTTCATTCTCAAATGCAAATCAACAGCTCTTCCTGACATTGGAAATAAGCAACAACTTTAATTTTTTAAAGTCAGCTCAAAACAAAGAATATAAATGGAGGTCTTGAGATGCCTCGCTGTTCAGGGTGTGACCCCTAGAAAGGAGGACACTGGCAGTCTGAGGGTTAGCGCCACTGCTCATGGCCCAGGGGTGGCTGCATCAGAGTTCTGGTCAAGTGACTGATGACTTAGCAGGTTGGTGAGCTACTCACACCTCCATCTCTTTGTAATTGGGAACCCCGGCTTTCCCATTTGTAAAATGTGGGGTTCATTAGGAACAATGTCTAGGAAACCTGATTCTGGAACACTCTCTCTTGTTCATTTCCTCCTTAAAGGTATGATCTTCTGTCCTGTCTTGCTAGAATTGCTTTCTAGCTCTTACATAGATGCTTGTTCCAGTCTCTCTAGAACAGTGCCAAGCACAGTGCCTGGCCTGTGCTTGAATGTTTGATAAACACCTGTTGTATAAAACCAACCTAAAGAGTCTAAATGAAACCTGTGAATTGGGGTGTTCATAAATTCTTCAGTTTGTCAATACCAAAAGGCAGTTTCTGAATCACGGTGTTTGAGTCACATCATGATGAGCAACTCCTGTCCCTGTTTGCACATGGAGCTGTAATCTCTCAGCAGCTGTGTCAGGCCCCAGACTGACATCGCTTTGACCGAGCTTGCCTGCAGCTCTTTGCTTGGATCACTCACATTGTTGGGGATGACTTCTCCATCAATCTCCTCTCTTCCCCCAGACATTCTACCCATCCTTCAAGATTTCTCTCAGCATCACCTCTTTCTTACAGCCTGTGAATCAGAGAGTCAGGAGAGTTTTCTTCCTTCTCTGCCCTTTCATCAGACATTGACCATGACATTATACTTCAGTTGGACCCTTAGATCAGCCTTGAATTAACAACATTGTCAGCATGCAGCTCTGTCAAGCCCTGCCCTTCCCGCCCCTATGGGTCTCTGGGTCCTGCCTGATGACCCCAACATAGTCTTGCACACAATGATTGTTTATGGAACATGTTTGGCTAGGTAGTGAAAATTCTGATGCTCCTGGGGTCATCATTTACATTCAGCAGAGCTGCTGAGAGTCCCAGGACTGGCCAGTAGGGGGCATTTGTCAGGGCAAGTGACTGGGAAGGCAGAGTGAGCACAGAGGCCCATTCTTACTTGGCATAGGCTTTCTCCAGAAGGCAGGGCCAAAACTCTTGGTTGTCACTGCGTGGATGCACAAAGAGGTACTTCCTGTCCACGATGGGCAGGCGATCATCAACCACCACTTCCACCCACTTGCCACACTGCCAGAACTGGAAGAGAGATGAGTGTCTTAGTAGAATTGGAATAGGTGGAAGCTCCTGACCCCTGCCCATGCCAAACTATCACCACCGTCACACCATGGCCTGCCAACCAGCAATGAATTCTATCCAGAACAAAATCCTAGCCCTGTAGATGGGCAGGGGACAGGTGTGTCCTTTCCACTGGCAGATGGAGAAAATACATCACAGGCAAAGTTAATTGAGAAAAATACAGTCAGGGAGAAAAGAGACTTGGGCTCTGGTTCAACTTTGCACTAATACTGGCTTTTCTTTGGCAAGTTCTTTGTGAGTTTCAGACAAATATGAGGTATATCCTGCTCACAAAATGGCAGGAGGGGAACAGATGCTGAATGATACAGGAGAATGGTAGTGGGGCAAGGAGAGCCTCCTGAGAGCTGCAGGCCTGAGGGAACAGGCAGGAGGTAAACAGGTGGAAAGGAGTTAGGGAAGACATCCAGATGGCAGGGGCAGGATGGGCAAAGGCTGGAGGCTGGAAAGTGAGTCCTCCTCTGGAGGACTGACAGCTACAACCTCGCTCTGGCCTCATATAAAGCTGGCCTTGCTTTCAGAGCAGCAGAAATGAAGCTGGCTAGAGCTGTGACTGCTAAGAGCGTAAATGAACCAGATGTTCCTCTCCAAAACAGACTGTTTTAATCTTTAGCATTCAACTCTTAATGGTTCACCCAGGGACATCACCAAATGAGGAAAATTCCTAACACAGCCAGGCTTTAGAGTTTCTTCACTTATATCCCCTGTGCAGGGTGAGCAGTGGGACTTGCGCTTCGGCCTGAGCCTGGGCAAAGATGAGTCTCTGACAGCTGGGCTCAGAGGACAGCTGGGTGGATGCCATCGATCATCTGCTCAGCAGTGACAGAAAGCCGTCCACATGGCCTTTTTCACAGCTGGGTGTCCCAGATGTTGGGCTGTTGCATCCAGCTGAGGACACGCTTTCAAAGCAGAGATGAGACTGATGCAGAGATGTCAGAGGAGACAAAGCAAAGATGATGTTTTTGTGGTCATTAGCAAGCCTTGTGCTGCAGCTGGTCAGGCACAGCTGTGGATGTGTGTCCCTGTTGCAGTAAGACGCACAGGCAAGTGAGGCTGCCATTAGGAGGGAGTGCATGAAACACATCTGAAGCACCAAGGAAAGCTAATCCCAGCCCCTAGAAGGGAATACTGGAAGGAAAGCCCATCTGGATTTTGGTTTAATTGGATAGCAAAGTGCAGTGGACTGTCCCATCAGTGGAAGTGTGCTTGGGTCCTGGTTTTGCCTTTAGTTTGCTGAGCAACAAGCATTGGGTAAGATACTTAATTTTTGACCTCAGTTTCCTCATCTGTCAAAGGGTGGTAAGAGTAAGAACTGTGCTGTAGGGCTCGTAATTGGGTACAGATGAGACTGTGAAAGTAAGATTACAGTTTTGAGAGTAGCATTTTTTTGTTCAGCACCTAGGACAGTGCCGGGTACCCAGCAGGCCATCAAGGAGTGAATCCTGGTTTGAATGAGCATCTGTTGAGCTGCCCCTTAGATATGAGCTCCCATCTTTCCATGCCAGTAATGCTGAGCAGACTTGCTCTTCACATACAAAGGGAACAGCTGATATGATGGTAATTCCCAGACAGTATGTAAACAGCCTGCCTGATGGTCAAGAATGAGGTCTCTATTTCTTTGGGTGAAAAGGCATCTGCATCAAGTCTGTACTCGTCTCAAAACATGCTGGTGCTGTTTTGCCAATACCCAGGCTTCTGAGGAAAAGCATACAAGTTGCCTGGGCACTGGGTCCTTTCTGGCCAGCAGTGCCTGAGCTGAGAGCAGTGAGAAGAGATATGCAGAGGTCAGCTCTTTGCAGCTCTTTCTGGGGAATTGTGAGACTTTCTCTACCACCTAGAAAGGCAGAATATGTCCAGCCTGGGCTCAGGATGCCTTTACCACCTGTCAATCCGTCAAAACGTGCAGCTGTGGGTAAGTCCAGACACAGCTGAGTCCTGTGACCTTTAGCTCACATCTCAGTGTGCCTTGGACCTGCAGCATCAATATCACCTGGCATTTGTTAGAAGACCCAGTTTACAAACAGTTGGATTTCAGGACAAGCGAAGGGGAGAAAAGAGAAAAGTAAGAAGGAAACTTAGCTGAGAAGAAAAAGCAGGCAGGTCTTCAGAATCAATTCCAGGCAAGAGTGATTTTTAAAAAGCATATATCTGGATTTAGTCTAGAGAAATTTCTGAACACTGAGGAAAGAGAGAGGCTTTTAGAAGCATGCAGTTTGAATGAACATGTTGCATACAAAGTCAAGAGAATAGATTAGCATTGGATGTTTTTCCCTGCAACATCAGAAGCTAGAGAAAATAGAATAACATTTACAGACACTTAGGGAAAGGGATATGGCCCAAGAATCCTAAACCCAACCAAAACATATTTTTTTAAGTAAAAGCAAATGAAGGGCCTCCCCGGTGGCGCAGCGGTTGAGCGCTGGGTTGCGAAGCTGCCTGCAGCCTCTGCGGCGCCGGTTCGATCCCCGGCTGCTCCCCGGCCACCCCGGAGGAGGGTCCCACATGGCGCGCAGACCTCTCCTGCCACCCGCTGCTCCCCTCAGCAGTGTACTTCTGTCCTTCTGCCTGCTCTGCTCCCCGCTCTGGCTCTGGTGAATTCTCTCACCCTCCCACGCTTCTGACTGTACCCAGTGTTTGTATAAATAAAATAAATAAATCTTTAAAAAAAAATAAAAGCAAATGAAAAACACTCAGGTAATCTGAAGAAACTATTCAATGAAGATGAAATTAATGGGGATGAAATTAGAACAAAAATCTTGAGGAAAGCCAAAATGAAAGAAACAATGGTGAGCAATGAGCTGTAAATATGTTGGTTTTTCTTTTTAAGATTTATTTATTGATTTATACAAGCACTGGGTACAGTCAGAAGCGCGGGTGGGTGAGAGAATTTACCAGAGCCAGAGCAGGGAGCAGAACAGGCAGACTGATGAAATACACTGCTGAGGGGAGCAGCGGGCAGCAGGAGAGGTCTGTGTGTCATGTGGGACCCTCTCCCGGCAGCCGGGGATCAAACTTGTGCTGCAGAGGCTGCAGGCAGCTTCGCAACCCAGCGCTCAACCGCTGCACCACCGGGGAGGCCCTGTAAATATGTTTTTTATAAGAATCATCCTTGTGAAAATGAAATTGATTACTGAAGGGACAAAGATATAACAGGGGAAGGTAAATAACAGGTAACTGGAGCACCTGTAGGAATATTAGATAAAGAAGAACTCAAGGCCAAAGCATTACATATAACAAAGAAGAGCATGTGTAAACTTTGTTTTAAAACCCAGACAGAAAGAACATAAACCTCTGGGCATGAAAGGATGTAGGAGGGAAAGTGTAAAGCCAAACCACTTAAAATATAAGATGAACCTTCCAAATTATAACTTTAAGGAGGAACTTTATTTCACACTCTTTCAAAATTTGCCAAATCAACCAAAGGAGTAAGCCAAGATAAAAGATATCATGGTTGATAATACAATCTGCAAGTCAAATGTCACATATAAAGAAAACTTGCTATAAAAATATATAAATATATGTAAAGTCATATATTTACATACATAAACTCATGTTTATATTCATGTATGTAAAACTCATGACCATTGGATAATATATAGCTTCACATATGTTCATGAAGCATTTATAGAAACTGTCATGGATTTAGACATAAAAAAATTAACAATGTCCTCAGATGTGGAGATTTTATTAATTATATTCTCTTATCATAATTTAATAAACCTAAAACTCTAGAATGAAAGATCATCCCCTATTAAAATTACCCAAAACTAAAAAAACCTTATTTAAAAATTAATAAAAGTTAGACATTTTAAATCAAAATTTTATGGATACAGATAAGATCTTAAGGGAAATTTATAGCCTGGAAAGCTTCTTATCATTAAAAGAAGACTAAGAATATTAGTGTATGCACTTTCAAAATCAAATAAAAAATAATAAAAGTAACCAAGATACAGTAAATGGGAATTAATAAAAATAAATTGAAAGTAATATATAGAAAACAACACTACAAATGAAAGAGAAAGGAAAGAATAATGAAAGCCAATTGATTTATTAAAAAAGCAATAGATTGGTTGGGTTAAGAAAACCTGGATTAAGAAAACAGGGAAGAATAAAAATATAGCGCTGGGATTGATAAAGTAGACTTTACCCAAGATTAAAAGAAATTAAGTGGATTTTCAGAGAATCACATAAGAAATATTTTGGCAATAAATTTTGAACTATAGATGAAACAGTTTTTCAGGCAAAACATAAATTTCAAGAATTAACTTCAGAAGAAATGAGACCCACGCAGATCGATAGCTACTGAATACATTGGAAGATTTAAGTCACAATTAAAAAGCAAGTAATCCCATATGATTTAACTAATGTCTATTTGACTTTCAAAGAACAGATAATTAACAACCATTATTCAAATTATTTTAGATGAAAGGAGCTTAATGGGTTAAAGCTTACTGGGATAAAGCTTAATGGGTTAATTTTTAAAAAGCTAGTACAAAACAAACATAAGAATAATATAAACAAGCAGAAACTAATTCTACATATGCTTTACATGCAAGCATTCTAACAAAATCTTCAGCAATTTGAATCCAACAGTGTATTCAAAGGACAGTACGCCAGGAAAATATATTACTAAAATCAAGAGAAGGCTGGCTTTTACTCTTGTTACTCTTACTCAAAATTATGAGACTCTAACCAATGTGACAAGGCAAAAGAGCAAATAAGTTTTACAGGTATCAAGGAGACAAAATTATCTTTATTTGAAGATAATGTTATAAGAGAACTAAAAAATGCAAACTTCACTAAAGAAAAAATAATACTAATAAAGAACTTTTAGTAAAGTGGCTATATACAGTTTAACAAATGATACAGAGTCACATTCTTCTTTTCAGTCATATCTAATTAACTTTTAAAAATTAGTTAGAAATTGGGGGAAAATCTCATTCATATAAGCTACAAAATTTTAAATATTTGAGAATATATCCACCAAGAAGGGTAGAACACCAATATGAAAACATAACTATAACATTTTATTGAAGGATATAAAAAATAGTTTTGAATTAATGGGAACATATACCATGTTTCTGGAAAGGAATAATTAAAATAATAAAAATATAATTTTTCCAGGTGAATATATAAATTTAATGCTGCTTTTATATCACTTTTCTTTTTAGTGAGATTAGACAACTTTAAAATTCTCATCAGGGCCTCCCTGGTGATGCAAGGGGTTAAGCACCATACTATGAAGCAATCTGCAGCCTCTGCAGTATGAGTTCGATCCCCGGCTGGCCAGGAAGCAACCCACATGGTGAGGCAGACCTCTCCTGACTTGCCTGCTGATCCCCTCAGCAGTGTGTTTCAGTCTGCCTGTTCTGTTCCCCACTCTGTCTCTGGTGGGTCTTCTCACTCCCCTCATCTCTGGCCTGTACCCCAGTTCTTGTATGCATAAATAAATCTTAAAAAAATAAAATGGCAAAAGTTCATCTTAAAAATATATGAAAATAAAATTCTCATCAAAGAATAAGTATGTAAGAATTACCAAGACATTTTTGAAGAAAGAATAAAGAACAAAGAAGGAGCTCTTGTCCGTCCAGATGCTGGAACTTACGCTAAAGCTGCACTCATCAGCACAGCCAGCTGTGGCACACAAAGAGGCACAGACAAATCTCAAAGATGTGTCAAATTCTGAATAACTCTTTTGCTAATTATCTCTGCCATTCCTTTCTGTTTACTTGGAAACATTCTAATTCTCATCTTTCCTATGTGCTTTCAGATCTTGGGCTCAAACCCTTTTTTGGAGACACCAGATAACACACAAGTGCGTCTTCCAGCTCCGGCTGCCAGGCCAAGAGAATATTCACAACCCTGCCCCCAGTGCTACAGAAAACCCCATGGAAGGAGCGCCCCAACCACACACGTACCCGGAAACGGAAAATCCCCGCGTATTGGTGTGAAAAGCTTTGGTCCATCAGGATCATCTGCAGGTGCTGTGGATTCTGTGTTAAGGCGCCCAGCGCGGCCAGGAACCAGCAGTCTCCTGAGTGTAGATGAGCCACAGGGATCAGTCAGACTCCCCGAATCCCCAGCCCATGCATTTCACAGGTCTTTGCCCCCAAAGCCTGCATTCCTCCTTCTGAATAGTGCATGCATTTTTTTCCCTACCTGAGAGAGAGGGGAAGGATTCCCTGGGACTAGTTCCAAATAAGATAGAGAAGGAGCTGATGGTCATGATGATGGTGGGGGTGGGGGTGGTGATGATGGTGGGAGTGGTGATGATGGTATGATGGTGGTCTGGTAATGATGCAGTGGTCATGTTGGGGGTGGTGATGATGATGGTGATCATGGTGATCATGGTGGTGAGGGTGGCTGTGCTGGGGGTGGTGATGCTGGTGGTGCTGAGCAGGGACAAGAGAGTCCTGGCCAGGTTTTGGCAGAACAGACGAGCTAACTTGCCTTCTGATTCTCATTTGTCAGAAAGGCCAGAGCAAGCACAATGTGTGAGTGAACAACTTAAAGTCTGTTCTCAGAGGAGGTGCTGTCTTATTTTGCTGTCTCCTTACTTCTTGTCCACTTCACCCTCACAGCCAGTCCTGCCCTCCACTCTGAGACTTCTTGCTCAGGGGCTGGGCTTGGCTGCAGCCAGTGCCACCCAGGGGCCTCCTTCCAAGGCAGACCTTCCTCTTCCCTGTTGTACCTCTCACCTCTTAGCAACAAACTTGGCCTCTGGAGTTCTGGTGGGTGACAAGAGGCTAATAGCCCTGGATTCAAAGTGGATTCAAACCTAACTCTGTCACTTGCTGATATGTCATCTTAAGGAAATTATTTTACTTCCTGGACACTTCGTTTCCACACATCTAGAAGGGGGCTGTTGCAAGGCATGAATGAGCTCACTCTGCAGGCATCGAGCATGGTCATTGCGGAAACTCAGTGACGGCTTCACCTCTCCATTCCCCATGTCCCATCTTCCTGTCTTCTAGCAGCTGATGCTTCTCTCTACTCAGACTAAAGCTGTGTCTATTCCCTCCCTTTCTTTCCTAATTGCTCAGCCCTGATGGTTGTGCACACTGGCCGTGAACCGAAAGCAGGCTGCAGGGTGTGCTGTGAGCCGCCCTTCCGAGGCAGCACAGGATGCCAGTCTGGCCTCCTCAGGAGCTGGGGCAGAACTCTAGGGGGCACCACCCTCCACCCCTCCCTACCTAGAGGGTGACTGGCTTGATCTGGTACAGGGAGGGAAAAGGTTGAGTTACCTGCCAATCCTTGTTGGATGTCAAATCTGCTTACGCCTTCCAGGATGAAGTAAGGGGGGCCATTTGATAACTCCTTAGGAAAGAGAAGAACAGTTTCATTCCTCTTTGTCCCACCACGGTACCCAAAACTCTGCTCATGTTGTCTTTGAGGGATCGAGTTAATTCTTAATAGACACTTAAAATCTGAGTTAGGAAAGTTCCCCTCATGCTTCCAGTTCCACACTCTCAGGAAAGCCAGTGTCCAAGGGTGTGTATGTAACTCATCAATGCACAAGCAAATGGCGCAGAGAGAAGATATAAATAAGGACTCCAGGGGCAACCTATGAAGCTGTTCCAGACACTGCAGCATGAGTTCCATCCCTGGACAGGGAGCTACCCATATGGTGCAGCAGACCTCTCCTGTCTCGCCCCCTGCTCCCCTCAGCAGTGTATTTCAGTCAGTCTGCCTGTTCTGTTCCCCACTCTGTCTCTGGTGAATCCTCTCACCCCCACACCTCTGGCCTGTACCCCAGTTCTTGTATGCATGAATGAATAAATCTTTAAAAAAATAAATAAGGACTCCAGATCCTTACATCAAATGATCAGTCATCCCTGTCCTAGTAAGTGTTTTATGAAGAGGTCATTAATGATCAAAAAAAAAATTAATAAAAAGGAGACATCTAATACAGGACATTTTTATAAACATAATAAAGGTTTCCTTGTGAAATCTCTCAGAAGTTAGCTTAGGCCTTCAGGGCTCCAGGTTTAAGTGCAGCCACATGCTGTGCAGGATATTACTCAGATTTATGCCCATTCTCTGGCTAACCCATGGGCTGACTGTGGAATCTCAGGTGCTGTTACTCAGCATCCAGTCACTCCCCACCCTGCAACCACATGTGCCTGCAGCCACAGAGAGGGGGTACCAGAGGAGGCTGTAGTGTCTTGCAGAGAATTTGGGAAGCTCTCAGTAGACACAGGGAGGTGAGAGCATTTTGAGGGGCTCCCTAGACACTCTGTGGGATCAGGGGTGACTCGGGTGTGCCCTAGCAGCAGCCCATAGGGTTATCCTCCGTGCTTCTCCACGTCGCTCTTCCTGGATTTACATTGTACACGGTGGCAGGATTTGGTAATTGCTCCTGTGTCATTTCTTTTCACAGTGACAAATAAGTCCCCAGAGAGTAGAACTGCAAAGTGGAAATGGATTCATTTGCTGCACAGCCATGAAAATACAGAGTCCTGGGCCTAAGAAACTGCTGGCTCTTTGTCAAGTGACAGTTTCCTGGTGGAGATGCAAAGGGGCACATAGGCGGACACCTCTGTCTGCAAACACTGGGACCCAGCTCACCTGTGAGGGTGCTTCCCTTGGTGAACTGCCTCCACTGCCCTTTGCAAATCAGAGGGCCAGGAAGAAGGCACCAAACCCAACCTTCTGGGGTACCCAGAGCCGGGAAGAACCTGGGGTCTCCCCCAAGTAAGCAGAGCACAACTCTCTCAGGGGTTTCAACTATGGGGGAGCAGGTCATGGCGGGCAACTCTCTAGTTGCAAACAATACGGGGCACTTTGGTCTCTCACTGCTGCCTGCCCTTCCTGGCCCGCAAGATCCTCCACTTGGGGCAGATAAAGAAGAGGGAGGAGGCTACTGGGTATTTGGACCAGGAACAAAGACAAAAGACAACTTTGCTTGGTTTTCTGAGCCCCCCTCCCTCCTCTCCAGCTCTTCTTCACTGTGGTGGACTTGTCCCTTCAGGGAGGGAGGGGGCGGGGGGCTGAGCTGGGATGTCAGTGCAGACAGGCAGGGGCAATACCTTGCATTCACCCTGGTCGTTTAGTAACTTCATTTTTCACCAAGCCTCAGTTTCCCTGTTTGTCAAGTGGGAAGGACATCACAAAACAGAAGGGCAGTTGGGAGCATCAAGCGACAAAACCATCTGGCGTCAGCCACAGGAACTAGACCCCGAAGGGGGGTGAGGTTTTATTCACAGATTGTTGCCCACGGCCTGGCTAAGCAGGAGTCCTTCCGCTTTACAGCTGAGGGAGGATGTGAAATACTTAGCACAGAGTTGGGTACATATTCAAATTCAATAAATATTGATTCTCTTCTTCTGTAATGTTTGCAAAATTAAAAAGACTTTTTTCATAGACAAACTAGAGGCTCAAATGCTTTCATTATTAAACAAGAGAAAGAAAAAAATAAGCAGTTAATGCATAGGTGTTAGAAAGAAGGAAAATAAAAAACATGCACAAAAAAGAGCCTCACTAATATGACAGGAAAAGAGTGATAGAGAAAACAATTAATGAATTATAAATAGAAAAACAGCAATACCAATAAAGCAAATTTTCTACTTGAGAAAGAAGGTTTACACAGACCTAAGCTTTGGCAAGTATGGTAGCGAATTCTAAATAAAATTAGAAATAAAAATGGGGTTTTAGTAACACAAAAACATCATGTAAAATTCTATACAAATTAATTTAAAGATACTGATGATTTTCTGAGAAACATGAGCATGGCCTCAAGTGATCCAAATGAGTAAATAACCTAAAGAGATCAGTAATTTAGTGATATTATTTTAAAATAATCAAAGAATAGCTCCTAAGTACTTATGACTTCCCTACTGAATTCTCTCAAACTTTTGGGCTAGACAATTCCTGTGTCACTTACAGTTTTGTTTTTTTTTAAATGAGAATCCTGTCACTTAAGAAGATGGCATAGCCTTGATACCCAGTCTGAGAAAGAGAAAACACAAAAACATATTTTAAACTGATTTCACTTATAGAAATATACCAACATAAACTACCCAGCCAATAAATCAACAATAAATTATAAGCTTAACCCATTATCATCAAGTAGGGTTTGTTGTAGAAATGCAGGAAGCCAGGATGAGTTCATATCAGAACCTCATCATATAAAATAGCATTTATGAGGGCCAAGCAATTAATAGTTTATATCCTTTCAATAAATGCTGGGAAGCAAAAATATACAACTTTCACTGGTTTTCCCAATAGAAGCCAAAAGTTTGGCTAATTAGGAACAGGAAGGACATTTTAATGTTATAAAAATTAAATGATAATTATTTCAAACACAGAGTCAATCATCAATGTGAAATTTAAGGGGGACTCTGGAGTCACTGTCTCCACATTGGGCAGAAAACCAGCGTGTCCTCTGAGCTGTCTAGCCTTCCCCTCCCTGGGCTTTCGAGAGGTGCTGGATGTTTCAAAAAGAACAAAGGTGGGAAGAGCCAGAAATTATGCCTAGGAGCATTTTAGGCTGCTGGTTGGACTTCCTGAGACAAGGACCACTGAGAAAATCAGCAAAGATGGCTGGAAGATGGAAATGCTCTGATGCTGGCAGGTCTGTCTCCTGGTAGGCTGGGCACAGCAGGGCAGTGACGTCAGAGTGATAAGAGCAGCAACAGGCAGAGTCTCCACCCGTGTGATTCAGAATCAGGCAAGAGCTGCTAAGGCGTGAAGGCTGCTGGGGGGCCTCCCACAACCTGGATCCAATAGGAACTCAGGAGATTGGGGTTCAGGATTGACAGAGCAGCTTAGGCAAGGGCGAGGGTGCAGGCTCAGAAAAGCTGAGCAATTTGTTCCAGATCCCACAAGAAGTAACTTTTAATCAGGCAACCTGTCTCTCTAGCTTAGCTCTTCCCACGGGCCATGTTGGCAGGCAGGGGCTGCCATCAGTGGGTGGACTTGTCTTGGAGGGCTCTGAACATCCAGCTGTATGGAGGGAAGCTGGAATGGTTATTTTTACAGATCAAGTTGACTTGATCATGGGATGCCCACATGTTTGACTAACCATTATTTCTAAATGCATCTGTATGAGTGTTTCCAGATGAGATAAGCTTTTGAATCAGTAGACTCAGTAAAGCAGAGCACCCTCCCTGATGTGGATGGAATCATCCACTCCTTCGAGGGGGAGAATCCCCCATTCTCTGCCTACCTGCTGAGCTGACACATTGGTCTTTCTTGCCCCTGGACTGGGAATTACACCATAATAATTATGCCATAACAAGCTGTTCTCAGGCCTTCCCATGTGGACTGAACTACTGCACTGGCGTCCTGGGTCTCTAACTTGCAGATGGCAGATTGTGGGACTTCTCAGTTCCCATAATCACATGAGCAAATTCCTCAGAATAAAGCTATCAACAGGATATATCAGCATGTATATATGTATGTATATGGGTAAATATTTTATTGGTTTCTCTTAGAACCCTGACTTATGCAGAAATCATTAGCAAAAAATCAAACTAAGTAATCTCAGTCTCTTAGCTCTGGATCCTAAAGCCCTTTCTCAAAGCAAAGTTTGGGACAATCTTTGCTGTATTAGTTATGCCAGAAGCAAATATAATGCAAGAGTTCCTGGAGTCTTAGGAAATACTCTCTCTGAACCTGGCACGTTTCCACAATATCTCTGGAGCAGTCTCTTTCAACATCACTTTGTATATTTGGACAGTGACTCCTGCATTCTCTTCAAAGGCTGTGCATGCACTTGCCCAGAGGATGTGCTGTTTCTGGATGAGGAGGTACCAGCTTTAGCCTCCTGGCATTCAGATCTGGCCCTTTTCACAAGGTGGCCAGAGTTGAGGCTGGGCCAGGTGGCCAAGTCACTCCCTTTTCTGTTTTTGTCAATGAGCTTTTCTTTATTTGGCATCAAAGTTCTTTGGCTCAGTTTCTTGTTGGCAGGCTCGCCTCCTGTGACCTCGTGTGAACTACATTCAGATATTCCCTTTATTAATCGCTCCTTTCTGAAGAATTTATTTTGGTTGGAAGGAGATTCATTTCTAGCCACTGGTCCTTTAGAAATTACTCCAGCTACTTGGAAGATGAAAGTCATCAGCTGGATACAAAAAGCTACGTTCTGGCCACAGACCAGAGACCACAGTGGAACTATGAGTATGAAGCTTGGGGGGCCCCTCACATGGCATGTTTTGGGCCCACATCCCATTCTTTAGTTAGAAATGAAATTACTTTTACTAAAGAATGGGGACAAAAATGAAATTTCATTCTCTCAATCTGACACACACTGGTGCCTGCTGTGAAAATCTACATCTACAATTCTATGCCCTCCAATCCTGCAGCCACAAGTGCCTACTTAAATTTAAATTAATTTAAATAAAATTAAGACTTCAATTCCTCAGTCACACTAGCCACATTCCAAGTGCTCAGTCACCACATGGAGCTAGTGGCCACTGACTTAAACAGGACAGAAAAACTCATGGTTGCAGAAAGTTTTAGGGGGCAGTGCTGATCTATTGAATGAGATAATAATATTATCTGTCTCCCAGGTATGTTATGGTGATTAAATGAAGTGTTGAATGCGAAGTACTTAAATACCTAAACCTTGTCCATGCTTGATAAGTAAAAATTTTATAGTTATCCATGAAATAAATATTGTAAAAGAAAGTCACTCTAAACACCAAATTTAGTTCATGCAAATGTCATATAGATACTCCATGTGTATGTGTAGGGCTCAGCATTGTCTCTTGCTGAGACTGGGGCTTGCAGTAAGTGCTGAGGCTGATGAAAGCTGGGTCCCCTCACTCGGCATGCTCCCCGCACACTCATGGCTAATGCAGAACCCAAGTGCCACCAGTAGGGGGAGTGTGGAGTGTGTGTGTGTGGAATTGGCAACTCCTTAAACAAAGAGATGCTCAATGAAGTTGGCTATAAAGGAACTTCTACTTCAGAGTTGCAGCAGCAAAAATGGATTAACTGTTAAATGGAGGAAGAACATGAAGAGAAGGAGCAGGCAAAAGAGAGAGAGGGAGAGAGAGAGAGAGAGAGAGAGAGAGAGAGAAACACAACAGGACCCGAAACGTGTCTGCACCAGGCGTGAAAAAGAGAGTCTGGCCTCACTGCCCTGAGTCTTGGGCTCTTGTTGAAAGCACCAACCTGGATGAGCACTTGAGTGCCCAGGCTGGAATATCATGATGGTGAAGCAGTTGTCTAGATCATGGAGCTTCTGTATTGCCTAGAAAAGCTTAGTATGTAAAGATGGCCCAAGAAAGCTTGGTGTCACCTCAGTGATTTATATTTCAATTTTCAGGAGTATCTGGATAGGCACTGGGCAAGCTCCAGATAGGGAGGTTAGCTCTTGCTAGAAATTGGATAGACAGCAGAATGTGAGAAGAAAGTACTTTCCACTCTTTGCCAGGCTCCTCCTGACCTCCACCTCCTAATGGTTTCCTGTTACCCACATTAATCTCCAAAAGAATTGGCTAAAATTGAAACTGAGAAGACAGGTCTGCAAAAGTCAGAGGTTCCCAGGGACAGCTGCTGAAGCTGCTGCCCTAGGCCACGGCTTCTTGGTTAATTATAGCAGCAATAGCTGGTGTTTCATAACTGCTTACAACATGCGAGACACTATTGTCAGTATTGTCATCTGGTACACCTTAAAATTATGGTGGGAGGGACAGGTACCATTTCTTAATCTTTATTTTCCCCCCTCATTAAAAAAAATGGAAAGAAGGGTAGAACATAGAGAGATCTACTTTAGAAAGAGATGACTCCTGGTTACTCAGATGAGGTGGGAGAGTCTACTGGTGTACAAAGTATTATTAATGGCAAACAGGACACCAGAACACAAATGATAAGGCCTTACTGGAGGCAATACAGTACAGGAGTCCAGGGCCTGGAGCCAGACTCCAGAGTTCAAACCCCATCTCTGCTACTTTGGCAGGTTGTTTAACTGTTTCTGTTTATCTTCTGAAATATGGGACTATAACAGCATCTCCTCAGAGACTGAGGATTAATGAGCCAGGGTGCTGAGAGCCAGACCATATGGTCAGCACTATGGCCAGGCTGGCCATGGTTCCTGTCCCGGGGCTCTGTATAGTCCTAGCTGTGAGTAAGCTGTTGCCATCAAGGATGTTACCATGTTGAAAGGATGCCTACATTGTTTTTTTCCCTCTACTGTCCTCCTTGGAGCACAAGTCAACCCAGGGATTCTCTGACACATATGGAGCTTGAAAGACTCACCAGGTATATAGACAGAGTCCTTCATTCATTCATTCACTCACTCTTTCATTCATTCCTATTTTAACAGCGTGTCATTGGGTGTGCAATTCCATGTGAGAAAAAGTATAGAAAGTGAAGTCAGGAATCTTAGTTCAAATCCCAGATCTTAAATAAAAAAAAAAAATTCCAGATCTTTCCTTCAATAATTGTGTCCTATCACCTATCTGAATCTGCTTTCTTTCTTTTAACATTGTGAAAGAACAAAGGAAACAAAGAGAAGACACATGGAAAGTTCTAGAAAGTGCTATTACAAATGTAAGTGCTGCCAGTTACAATAAGAGGCACAAAGAAATATGATTTGTATGAAAACTGACCTCCTGGTAGTTTAGTTAAGATTTTTGGATGAGAAAGGGAAGAGGATTAAAACGTATTTGGTCCCTAGCTGCCTGCATTTTCTGGTTCCTGGCATGATTCTGTATAAGTTATTTCTCTTCTATTTGTCTTAGTTTCTCCTTGTCCTCAAACGACATCACAAGTTGAGATGTTGTTGGAATTAGATAATAAGAAACTCTCAACCCTTTCTAAATAGAAATGTTATAAATTCTTCAACACTAAAAATATGGTCTCAGATCTAAGGCTCAGCACCTTGTGAAAGAAAAAAAAAAAAAAAAAAAAAAAAAAACCAGCCACTTTCTAAAAGAATCTGTTTCTGAAAATGACAAAGAGGGAAAAAAATTAACCCTTGCAAATTTTAAACAGAGTTCTCTGCTCAGCTGTCTTTAGGAGGTGAAGGCCAGAAGACAGTTATTGTTGGGGATTTGCTGCCTCTGGCTGATAGGATGGACCACAGTAGGTTGATGTACCCCATTTTTCTTTAATCAACATTCCAAACAGCACCAGATTCCTACTAACCATTCCTTTTCCAAAAGCTATAAATTTACCCCAAGTCAGGGCAAGAGTTGGCACCTCCAAAGTTCTATGACTTATCATGTCATCAGCAAATCCCTTTTCTGAGTGACCTAACTTGGCTTTATTGACAGGACTCGGTACAATGCTTGACATTTAATCAATGCTCAGTAATGCTTGCTGATATTATAATCATTAGCTTACAAGACATCCTATTATTTTCTCCTGTTCAAGGTTCTGCTGTTCATTTTCAGAAGCATGAACAAGAGGTTTGGGCATCAGGGCCCTCAATGTGGTTCTTGCTGAGTCATTTACATCAATAGTAGTCCTGATGAGATTACGAGAGTGTTGAGTGGACGGAAAAATTTCCCTTGGAGTTTCACGCCCTGAAACTAATAAAGTTCTAGAAAAACCAATAAAGCTCCCTTTGCAGCAGAGTGGAGTAAGTGGTCATCTTCTGGGGTAGGTTTCCCTGTGATATCTCCCTAATTTAAAACTAATGTCTGAAATTCTTTTACAGGTGATCAAATCTTTGCAAGATTGGGAATGCAAATATAAGTAAGAGAGGTGAGGCCACTGTTTAAATGCATTCTCTTTTATAAGTGACTGCATGATATCTTCCCTCTGAGTAAATTTCTAACAGGGAAGGAGAGAAGATAAAGGCAATGATGTCTGAGGAGAATGAAGGACAAAGGACACTCCAGTTGGGCTCAGTTATGGAGATGAAAGGGGACCTAGCAACAAATACTTCAATCTTCACTCCCATGGACTCCCATTTTTTAGATGGAAATACTGAGGCATCTGATCTAGAGATGTTCTCAGGGCTAGAACTGGATTAGAACCTAGGGGTCTGGGTTCCTCATACAAACTTTAATTCTACTGAGGACACAACACAGCAGCAGATGGATTTCTTTCTCCTTTCAGTGTGGTTGGAGCCATCCCTGGAATCCAGGTCTCCTTCCCATCCTCTGTCCAGTGGGAGGCACCATGGCAGGCATCTCAGAGGGCCTAGGAACTAGAGGCGTCCTTGGAAGGCTCACTCACCTGGGGCCGCTTCCATTCCAGTCTGGAGAAGCCATCTCTCTGGTACAGCTGCAGACCTATGGATGACGGCGAGATGGGGAATGTGTCATCCTCAAACAGACGGCCGCTCCTCAGGCACTGATCTCGGAGGAAATAAAAGTCCTGGCCGTTGAAATTGACGACAGGGGTATTGGCTAGATGCTCCTGATAATATGACATGTCTCAGCTCAGAAGACCTTAAAAAAGGCCTTTTCCTGGTGAGAAAAAGATATATTTTAGAATTGAGCCATCAAGTCCTTTGCATCACTGATGTGAGCCAGGGAAGGATGCTCTGATATCCCCCCACCCCATAAATGAGGGGACTGAGACCCAGATCAGTGCTATTCCCTGGTGACACAGTCACTTGGTGGGCCATCCCAGACTAGAATTCAAGCATCCTTACTCCCAATGTCATCTGTAACCTACTGCACTGAGCAGCTTCTCAGTATTCGCTTGTGTGCCTGAGAGACTATGCAGGCATTTGAACATTAATGAACATTTATTGAGGGCTGACCTGGTGCCAGGCACTTTTCTGAATGCTGGCAATCCAAAGATAAATACGGCATGATCTTTATCCCCTGGGGGCTCATTATCAGTGGGAAAGAAAGATAAGACATTTAACAGAAACTGTATAATTAAAAATGTGTACAAAGTCTTGTGGATATAAAAAGGAGGAACTCCAAACTGCCAAGGAGAGCATGTCAGTCTCTGTCTCAGCCAATCAGCAGTAGTGCCATCCACTAGAAATGCCTGGGGCACCACAGGCCCGCTGTGAGATCCCCACAGAAACCTCCCCCTTTGGAGTCAATGTTGTCACAGGACCAGCCCTTGTGGTTCTTGTGATTGTAAGACGCCCTCAGTAATAACTCTGAAAACTTTGAAAGGCAAAGCTTATTACTCACAAATCCTGGAGGTACCTGGCACTCCTGGGACCACAGAGGAAGGTCCTGGGTAGAGAGAGAGGGAGCCTGGGGTTCTGCTTTTATTGGGGTTGGAGGTGGGGAGCCCAGAGCTTCAAGGCTTTGCTCTTTCCTGCTGAGTTTAAAAGCTAAGAGCAGGAATTATTATGCAGGGATGGAAAAATAAGTGGATCAAAGTTCAGGTAGCTAAGTCAACCAATATCTACAAACAAAGGAAGGCCTAGGCGGGGTGTCCTGCTCTGGATTTAGCCGTGTGGCTGATATTGTTTATTTGCATGTGACCAAGGTAAGAAATCCTACTTTTTGCTCTGTTGGAAAAGGTTTAGTTCTGCCCTGCCAGGGCTGCCTCAAGAGGTTGGGGTCAGTACAATAGTAATTCTTGTTCACTGTGAATAAACCTGGGGTGAGAAAGGAAGGGATATCTGGGGCCTCCCTGGTGGTGCAGGGGTTTAAGTCTCAGCGCTATCAAGCTATCGCCAGCCACTGCAGCACGAGTTCACGCCCCAGCCAGGGAGCTGACCCACATGGTGCAGCAGACCTCTCCTGTCTCCCATGCTGCTCCCCTTAGCAGTGTATTTCAGTAGATCTGCCTGTTCTGCTCCCCACTCTGTCTCTGGTGAATCCTCTCACCCCCACCTCACTACCTACACCTCTGGCCTACACCCCAGGTCTTGAGTACATAAATAAATAAAAATAAATCTTTAAAAAAAAAAAAAAGAAGGACTGTCTAAAAAATCCCACAGGCCAGAGCCTACCATGTTAGAGAGTTGCAGAAGAAGGAACAAGAGATAACAGCCTTATTGTGCCCTCCCTCTATGGGGACTTTCAGGATAAGAGATTCAAATGATCTTTGGTCCTTACATCTTTCCAAGCACAGATTGCTCTGGCTAAATTAGCTCCCTGTGATCAAGGACACCTTTGAAGATGTGAAATGGTGCTTCTCCTTTATCTAGGTTTGTTAGAAAACGACCTCCTTTAGTTACCTGAAAATTTTAGAAATTAATTAGATATCTTCTTTCCTTTGTTAAAAAAAATTGTATATTCTTTCTGTGTATTTAACTTACCTATATTTACTGAGGCCAAAAAGCCTAAGGGAGGGATTAATCACTTAGAGAAATCTGATATTGGTCTCTCCTGCCCAGGTCCTCAGTTTGGCTCTGAATAACCTCTTTAATGCATTTCTCTTTACAAAACCGTGAGTTTGCTTCACAGTGGTAATAGCTTTGAATCAAAAGCTTAAATCAGAAACTTGCATTACAATGAAAAGAAACAAAACCCAAAAATCCCAACTGTCAGGTGCTTAAGCTAAAATTCACCCTGCGATGCCCCCAGTTCATGCTGAGAACTCGCATAGCCTGGGGAGCAGATATGCTCAAGGTCAGGTCTAGGGCACATCACAACCAAGAAAGCACACATCTGAATGAGATTATAGTCACACATCATACAGCTAATAGTCTGAAATCCAGTCGATAGCCAGTGTGCCAAACTTGGAGTGTCCAGCTATGAATATAGATCACTAATCTGGGCCCCTGGGAATCTATTCAAAGATTTGGGTAATATTGTGGAAAATGATAACACCTTGGGTCATTTGGTGCAGGGAGGCTTCCCCCTGTCTGCAGTGGTTGAAGCGTATGCAGTAAGTGGTTCCAGGGAGGGCACCAACCTGTGTTCTGTGGCCAGGAGATAATCTGCATCAGGCACTGTCTAAACCACTGGACAAGAGACTCATGAGTCAGTTGCACAAGGGACAGGATTTTGTGGAGTCATTGTTGATTTCAAGGTAAGGTGGTCAATAATTGTTGGTTGGCCTCAATTACCTGATTCTGGGTAACTGGGGCTGTGGCCTCTGTACCCAGTCCAGTCAGTCCTTAGAACTGAAATGCCCAGGACTAAAGGAATGAGAATGGCTCATTTGGGTTAGTGGTAATGTTATAGGGCAGGGAGAGGGGCAGCCCAAACCCCGCAAACCTGCCTATTCTAAATGGGTTCTGCCATCCGCCGCATCAACACAAAACATAGGAGACTTTAATGGGAAGGAACTTTAATAAAACTAGGAAACAATACAGGTAAGGCAAAGAGTCTAGTTTCTAAATGAAGCACCCAAAGTTACCCGTTCCCTCGTGGGTAAAAGTCCATCCATATGGGATTGGCCCAGAACAAGGCCCCAAAGCCTGCTACAAGTCTAAAGCATCTTCCAGTGGGGACCCACAGAAAAGGGTCACAAACAACTGGACAAGCCCGGAAGGAAAAGAGCAAAATCAACATCAAGATAAAAGCTGCCATTGTCACCTCCCCACAGGTCTCACCCACATTTGTGTCACCCCGTCCACGACCAAAAGACAAGCGCAGTTTCTTCACGTGTCTCTAGGCTCCATGCGCCTCTTCCAGGTCTCCTGGCTCCATCCTGCTTCCTTCCTTCCTCAGTCTCTTCTTGCAGCTTCTTCTCTTCCTGCTCAGCTCCACCCTCCCTTGGGTGGGGCAGGGAACCTCCCCCTTTCCTGGGGACCACCCTGTTACAGTAACCAGACATAGTAACAAATGGAGGCATGGGGGCGATATTACCTGCAGGATTATAATAACAGCAGGCCAAGGGAGACAATGGGGCATTGTACTATGTTTCGGGAAAGCCTATCAGAGGACAGGGAGAGAATTAATGAGAGTGCTGTGATATGGACCCTCAATAAAGCCAAAGGCAGAAGTTCCCAGGGCAAAGGATTCATCAGAACCTCTGGCGAGAATCCCAGAATTCATGCATGCACTATGAGTCCTGGGGGTGCAATAAAGGGGTCTGCAGGCCAAGAGCTGTTTGTACCTGGGCACAGAATGACCTGGGTGACCTCAAAGGCGACTCCACAAGCACTCCTTGAGGAGCCATTGGGGCAGAAAATGGGTAGGGCGTCTAATTGAAGGAAGCCCGAGGGCAATGGTGTTGCTAGTAGTTGGATGAAATGGAATATATCAGCAGAGTAAGCATTTAAGTTGGGAAACAGGCAATTAGAGGCCACGTGACAAGTCCAGCAATTCTCATTCCAAATGTGGGAATCTCAGAATAAGAATGCTTGTGGTGTGGACGAAGCCTCAGGCCAACACTGTGGAAGGCAGAGGGGAGGTGCAGTGGACCAACTCATAGTAGTGCTAGAGAGAATCCTGGGAAGGCAGGAACCCCTTTACTGACCAGATTCTGTGGGGCAGGCTGGTCTGAGCACTTCCAACAGGGCTGTCCAATATTCCCCATTTTCTACCCGGTGGTACAATTACGTGCTGAAGTGGCACTGTTTCAGCCTTGGATCTATAAGATGATTAGGTCCCATGGATCTACCCCTTCACCCAGTAGCGCCTTCACCCAGGCTGTGCAAGCAGGTAGAATAGCCATAGTCATGTAGAGTCAAGATGAGCCTGGTGGGGTTCCTTTGGGCTGAGCTATTTGTATGTTGACTAACATCCGACTGCTGTGGTTGTCAGCAAGATGATGGGCTACCCATCTGGTGTAGGGGGCGGCCAGGACTTGCAGCTTTCTTGGCACACTTTCATCTCCAAATAAGGCTCTTGTCTACCAAGGGAAGAGTTTCTTTCCCTCTTTCAAACACCTAAACTCTGTGACTGGTTGGTCCTGAGGCATTGACTTCCAATTCCTGTAAATGAGTGGAATTTGGTTTCATTAGCCAGCCTTTGTAGCCACTATATTTGGGGAAAGCAGTTGGTATGGAGGTGGCTCCTTTTGAACAGTCTTCACTGTTGTCAAGTTTTCCAAAGTAACTTGGTGAACTTTTGAATTAGGGACATTAAATGATGGCAGGATCATCATATTTGACTATCCACTTTTGATCAGGTTGCCAGTGTGAAGTAGATGGCGAGATGATCAAACAATCACAGTGGAATGGGGGAATGGAGTCAGAGGACAGATCAAAAAGAATACTGTCTTTGAGGGAAAAATGTTGAGAATTATAAGAGGACCGAAAGGAGAATTCTGGGTGCTGTATAATATTCAGGGACTACGTCCCCATTCAAATCATCTCCATTGTTCAATTTGGGAGCAGAGAATATACCTTGTCATAACCTTGGCTGCCACCAGGAGAGGTTCTGTCCCCTCTGTTGAGCCCAAGTTAAAGCATGAATTTCCTGATGATCTGATATTGTACATGCCCATTCTGGATAGTGGTGGGAAGTGTCAGTACCCTGAGGAGTCTGCGCAGACAGAGCATGGAGACTTAGTAAAGGAAGAGGTGATATTGTTGAAAATGACTGCTGTAGGGCAACCTCACTCTTTGTGACTGGAACGTGTTTATTCAAGATAG